ATATAAATATTATAAAATTTATTCATTTGTATAAATTCGGTGACATATAATAAACCTCACAACTGGAATTATTTCACCATATATAAAACATCTGCAATTCCTCTTATTCTGAATAACTATACGATTTATTCCTTACATTCAAAAAATCAGCCAGCAATGTTGCTTTTTTATATGAATAAAAGATCTTTAGTTTGTAATATTTATATTTTATTTCCAACAACAATAAACCGTGAATTATACTGAAAAAAAGTCACCTGAAGTGCCCGCTTGGTCGCTCTATTATCTTTAGACTCGTGTTATCAATTAGGAACAAAGGTTGCTTCGAGATCTCAGAAACCAGCCTTGTCATTATAATATTGAAAACAATATTACATTCAAGTTTTACTTTAATAATTTATATAAAATTACATAAATCATACATATTGTTATGAAAATTACATAACAATGTAATATAATAGCTAGATAAACCATTGAGTTTACAACAAAGCAAAATAAATTGTTTTAAGTAACGTCTCATTATTAATAAAAGTATTCATAGTCCGACCCGTATCTCGGATAAGAAATGTAAATAGTTTATTGAAATAGCATTGAATAAGTTTTAACACAAATACGATACCGTCACTTATATAACGTACAGACGAAATAAGCCTTGAATTTGTTATAAAACTATTTAAGTGGAGATCTATTAGGGTTAATGTATCTTTCTACTGTATACAGCTTTTGTATCGTCTAATGTAATGGGAAAGGTCCAGGGATCGCACGCTGCATCATAATATTGACCCACTTAGACGCATTCATTCTGACCACTACTATTTGATCCGTCAAAGAAAATATTTTATATATACAAGATGATGTTATATTTATTTTTAAGTAGTTCTAGTTTGATTGGGTGACCATTTAATTTTTTTATCGCACTATTATTAAATTAATTGTATAGTTAATATTTTAATCAGATATTCATACATGAGTTTTGTATAGAAGTATGTGGGCTTACTGATAAATATGTATAAGGAATACGTTTTTAGTTCCTCGTAGGCACTTTAAGAGGCTCATCGCCAACGGCAGCATGTAATGGTGTTCCCATTCAACGAACAAATGTCACACGTTGAAAACTGCTTACACGATGTTACTAAGATCTCAGCGTAAAAACATTTAAATACTGTTTTAATATTTGTACTCTCTATGTCTAAATTCATACAAATATTTTCTTTTGATTTTGTTTTAGATTTTCTTTCAATGGCTTTTTTCTTGTCAAAATTAAATTTGTATTTAGTTTTAAATTATTTGATTATACATAGATAAAATTACCGTAAATATGCAGAGATTAGCTGACATACTTTTTCAGGTGGTGTTTATATAATACAATAGTATTTTTTTTATCGTTAAAGGAGGTTTTATGATATTTAATATTTATATAGTGTGATGTGAATTCAAATCGAAGATCTGTATCATATAAGACATCGTTGTATAATGTCACACGTACTAAAAGCCGGTTCAATGCAAATCCCCACAGCAATTCCATATCCGAGCGCCTCGCTTTGTTTAACCTCTGTAATATAAGACGCCATCTACCCCCTGACGTTTTACTACACCGAAAGGCTCTATGTTCAACGTTTTGAAATGTGAATTTAGTCTTAATACAGTCTTCTAGAGACCAAACTCCCTCGCCACAACACCGGCCACCTATATGGCGTAATAAAACTTATTTACTACATGAAGACAGCATGCCATCGAACCTCCGTAGGATTTCACATACTCCGGGTCAAACAGAATTAACTTTAAAATCTAGTTATGAAAGCTTTATACTTGATATTTTTTAGTACTCAGTATTCGTTTCTTCTGAAGTCCTTTTCACTTGTTTTAAGACGATTTCTGTGAACTTTCTAAACCTCCGAGTGTTCGCGATGTGACCTCAAACGGAATTTTAACAACCCTTTTAAGAATTGTAAAATCGTGGTCCTTTTTAATTATTGTTCCAGTCTTTTGTCAGCGGGCGAGGCAGCCGGCCATTTTTGTTATCGCATGCCATACATAACTTTGCATTGTTATTGATATAATGTAGATCGAAAATTCGATTTAATTAAACGTTGCTATTAACCTGATATTTTGTGTGACGAAAAATTCGATTAAAGGGTCATTAAAATTTAATCGTATATGAAATTAATAGGTATTAGGTATTCTAGTAGAATGTAAAAAACCACTTCAATGTTAGTTGTGCCATCTATTCTCTTATTGGAAATAAACTATCGCTATCCTAAAGATTTATTTCTGTCTGTTCGCTCTGAGTCCTAAAGAGTAATCCGTTTTGATTAATCAATTACTATTTAATTAAGTTTTGGAAGTCTCTTAACTGTGTTTAAGTCAACAACGAGCTTATAATATCAATATTTTAATTCACAATCTAATACTTTGTGTTACTTAAATATATGTAACGTCATACAGATATCTATTATGCGACCAAATGATGTCCAACAGAAGCGACAGATCTCAACGACCACGTACAATACACACGTTATATCCGGTGATCCTTTTATTGTCCACGCTTAAACGGTCCGTATTGTGAACGCGTTAATATCATAATGGCATGGCAATGTTGACAAACAGGCATCAAGCATGATTGTAAACACGGTCGAGTTTATGCGGGGGAAGTATGCGATTAGATGGGGACTATGGGGTATGTGTGGCCATTTAATTTTACAGTATTACATTAATTTGGGGGTTCGAGATTCTGGTGTATTCATGTCTAAGCGACCTTATTATGAGCGTATACTTTGATCTGTTTGTTTGTTAATAACTTCATTAATAGTTTTAATTGTATAAATTAAAAGCTGATTTCCACATGATATTTATAGAAAAATAATTAAAAATATTAATCAATCTGTTATTACCTTTTTTTTTATAAAAGTCACGTATATAAATAAAACTAATTTATTTCCATCCAATTATGCAATAATGTTAAACATCTCGAAGGAGAATATTTGAAGCTTGAAAGACTTTTGTATTGGCAATTACGAAATCGTTCCCAGCAATATATATAGCAGTGGAAAATAATTGCGTCACCTAAACTTTCCTTAGACATTGCGTAACACTTCATTTGATCCTAATTTAGTATAACTTCCACAAATGAATCCCCATAAAATAAAGATCCTTTATACCTTCTTTTATATTTAATTTGTTTGTATTATAAAGTTAAATTTTATGACGATATTCACACTTTCCTTTGAATATGATTATGTGTTAAGACGTCATGAAACTTTTATGTTATCGTTATTTATAATTAAGAATATATTATGTTATATAACAGAATGTTACATAACAAGTTAATTGTAACATATGGAAGGAACGACACGTGTAAGACAGGTGTACAACAGGTGGGGGTTCGAAGGATTTAACCGTCTTATTTGGGCTTTAGTTGGAGAAGTTTTAGGTTGCAGGGGAATTAATAGAGTATAAAGAGTACTTTTTGGATTCATCGGTATTATTGAAGTTTTACTATCAATCGACGAGTTAAATAAAAATAGTGTTTGTTCGTCTATATCAAAAATTATCGGTTCAATTTAATACGCAACAGTTGTAGTATGGAGAAGTTTCTGGAACGTATCGTTTATTAGAGGGAGTGGATAAAACATTAGCTTAAACGGTGCATCGCTACGGAAATAGACGCCGGCGCGACGGCTCGGCGTCGGCTGGTTTGGATGTTTTGATGCATTGATTAGTGCATCGATATATATTACAGAGCAACGCAACATAACATAACATTTACGCATCGGAATTCACTAACTGCAGACGAATTGGTTCTAATTTATATGTAAGGGCGTTGCTTTAAAATAAACATGTCCTCCTGCTTTGAATTATTCGATTAAAACGATTTTATATAATAGAATATGTATCGAGTGATCGCTCGTATATCCTAAACTACCCTCGCTAATTATATTTCTTCCCCATCCCCCACTATTCAAATGCGTTGCATAGCTAATAGTGCATCGAGGACGCGCGTCCGAAAAGCGCGTGCGGTCAGTACACTCGCGCGCGTCCACACGACCCCACGTCTGTACAAAGACGATACCTATGTAACACTTCAGATAATATTGAGGTGCAATGGTACTTACATCATCAACTATCCTCGCCTCATTAAGATTTGAGTATAATCGCGAAGAAAACTGTTATCATATGTAGATCGTTTTGTTTTGGATTTTTTTAATGTTTTAAGCGCCATGGGTTTCGAAAAAATCAATGAAACGCATAAATGTTGATGTGCGAATAATAAAGTCGCGTTTCAACCCCACGTTTGGATCGGAGTAATAATAGCGACTGGCATCGGAGGGAGGGACTCCTATGTACTGAGGGACAGCTAGAGTTGTTACAGGTCTTAAGTTTTAGGCAATAAATGCTACATTGCAATGTTACAGTCTAGACCGGCGTACGTGCACTTGTGAATGGTTTATTCTCATCGATTTTAATAACCCTGCATACTAAGATAGAAGAGGGATATAATATGAAATATTGTTTTATTATATTGTTAAATATTTAATTTACCTTTACATCTAAATGTGATGATTCTCAGCTATGTTACCTATGAAGTAAACAAAGTAATTAATTACCTTATTTAGTGGAATGTTACGAAATTCTTGCTCAGTAAATATAACGTCTATTTAAGTCTTAAAGCATGTGTACAAAATAGTAACGGTACTGTGCGTCACTTTCCCATCTAAGGGACGTCTTAAAAAATTCAGTTTGAATTAGATTCAATACAACGAAGGTCGGGCGACTGATCGGTCGATTGATCGGTCGACTAGTCGCTCGATTCGAACTAAACAGAGGGGAAGTAAACAGTCCTTGTCACCTTTCCCGGTAACAGCTTTAGGAAGACGTAGTTCGGTAAGGAAGCGACGCGGGCGCATCTGTTCGCGCCAAGAAAAAAATATAACCACCGTATTATTAATAGTTCTACCAGTGATGGTTAGAGTGAAGTGAAGTGAAGTTACGATGAAAAACGTTTAATGATGTTGGGATTCCTTACAACTGGAGGTTTTGGATATCAGAACCGGCTGACATTGCTCCAGCAACTGATAGAATGTGGTGATGTTCTACTGGGAAGGGAATTCGTTTGTGGTACGTTTACAAGTAAACTTGATTTAAACGTTAATCAACAATCAATTGCTCTATCTATTTAATTGGACTCGTTGCATGAGCGACTGAAATTAATTAGTGCAAATTTATCATTCATAGAAGGCATTCAGATCGTTTAGAGTTGCTATTGTAATATTTATTTTCCCCTTTATAATATAAATTATGTATCTTAAATCTATTTTATAGAGGACTCGTGTCGGTTCGATCCTAAAGTCTTATTTATTGTGTTATTGTCTCGCTACTTCATAAATTGTTCTAATTAGCATCCGAAATGACAGATCCCAGTCTCCAAGATCATAAACTCAATACTATTGCTGTAGATATATGACTATCATTCAACGGTCATGGCAAGAGTTGCACAATAAGCCACAATACATTACATGGCAGTTTAAAACAATTAAGTCGATTTCGTATTTCCTCACTGCACGCTCTATAATTTACTTGGAATACATTTCCTTATAATTTCATTCGAATTGATCATTTGTCATTCGTTACTAGTGATGTGTTTTTCCCACGAACGAATGAATTATTATGTACAAATGAAAGGCTTTTACATCGATAACTGTAATTAATTATTAAACTGTGTGAATTATCGATGGTATGGAATGTGAAAATTTTATTATGAAATGGTTTAGTTTTTATTTATTTATATTAATGCAATTTAAATTTTAAACGTTAAATGTAAATATTTTTTATATGCTCTGTATTTCTTGTACCTTTTTCTTGACTGTTCGTGAAATAATTCTCCTAATCATTCGTCAGCCATCTCAGAAGGTTTCACATAGTAGTCTTGAGTCGTAATGTGAATATAGAAAGTGTAAGCTAAACTCGGAATGTTTTATTTCGTCCCTGGTGTACCGTAAACATTCCTCTCATTTTAAGACTAACAAGATGTATTTCAATCCCATTATTTTCTAACATTTGTAGTATTTATAATATTTTCGTTCATTTTATTGCTAGTATTGTTTTACGAATAGACTTCTATAAAATTCAATAAAACTATATATTATTTCTTTTGAATACAATATAACCATTGCCTTTTAACAAACATTTACAAAGTTATTTGACATTACCATTTTATAATATAGTAGAAGAAGTCTTAAACTTTCCCTGTACTAATACTGAACAAAAAAATATATAGCTAGAGACATTTCTTTGTAGTTCATATAACACGACAAATAAAAAACTATTGTTACGGAATATGCAAAAAAAATGGAACTATTCTTAGAAGTTCACGTCTGTAATAAATCATAACGTTAAAAGCGGACAAGTAACAAACATATCATACTTATGTAAAATAAAGCGTCAACTTAAAATATAATGTGAGAGAGGCTTTCAGAAAAATGACCTTACAGCATTCAAATATTTTAATACATATGAACACGTTTCACTATAAAAGAACAATGGCTATTCTGGTTTCATTCTAACATGTACAGTCGTGTCATTAATTCAAATTTTTGATATAAGTTTTAATTGCGATTCCATTTTATGTGAGTGATCTCATCACAGTTATCAATAAATAGATATTTCGATACTTAATACCTTTAAAATAGAGTCCTTTTTCGTTTGAATGGTTAATCCTATTATATACAGATGAATGATAATTAAAATATGACATCAAGATTATTATCAACAATGTCTATATTTGTTTTTAAATATTTTTTTAATCCAAAGCCGGTTTTGTTTTAATATGTTATAATTAATAATATGTAATAGAAGTATCCTTGATTGTAAAAATCTAGTTTAACCAGTTACAACGAGAACAAACTCGTCAAATATTATTAATGAACGTCTCAAAACAATAGGTGTGATATTAATATTCGCCTCTCGTTTTGTTTGCATAACACGTGGGAATTATAATTTACATTGTGATGTCAATGATTTACGGAAGACATTAGAAGTTGTTGGTTTTTTTCCGATCTCATGGATAATTTGTCATTAATTATCACATATTCGTTTCGCAATAGCATTGTCTTCTTAGGAATTGAAGAACAGTTTTAATAGTTATATTAAATTTTCAAGCTAATAAGAACTAAAGAAAATACAGACTTTTGGAATGTTGGTCTACAATGCAAAAACTATTAATCGGAATGCCAATAAGTTTTAAAGTAATACACGTTAAATATAATAATAAAAATTACTTATATCACATAGAGTTCAAATTAACTACGGGAATAGAGACTTAAAGTAACTGAATTAAATCTAGGAAATCGTAAAGTAAGTAATACTTACTTACTAAGTATTTACAAGTTAAAATTCATGATAATATATCAGTGGACTTTTTATTTCAATTAGTGATCGTAATCATCAAGTTGTCACCGTAATTGAGTCCATCATGGTGTATGACCACCGTTCATACTCCATACAACGTTATCAGCAATTACACATACTATGGTGAGGCTAACAACACACGTCTTGTGAAGCGTGGACTTGTTGTTGCGTTTTAATATAACATTAATGATATGATGGCTTTACTATATCGTATCATATCATATCTTATCAAACAATCATATCAATAAAAACATTAAAACAAACTTCAATATTATTTTTCTATTCTATGAAGCTCCCTATAAATCTATAAAAATTATTAGGAATTAACTATGGAAATATATTTCAAAATTATACACATAACAAGTTGAAAAATGAACAAGAAATTACAAAAATGGTCTCGGTTTTATTTGTAATTCTAAAGCCGATAGGCCGGGCTTTTTAGATAATACCGTTTTACCGTTTCTTGAACCCTTATTTATTATATGATTTGACCCATCGACAGCACTTGTCTGCGGAATGTGTACAAAGAATGTATATCTTTAAGTAGAAAAGTGCTTTACCCGAAACTTGATTGCCTTAGGTTAATTTATTTAAGTGTATAGAACCATAAATCGGTGGTACACCTACAGTCGTAATCCGTGCAAAGAATACCGTTATTTAAACACTGTTCCTAGATAAAGCTGAGAATAGAACTCATCTCACGTAATACCTGCCCCCGTAACTTACGATTGTCTGTTATACGTATGTTATGATAATTTTGCATTTTCCCTCACAACGGTACAAAGCTACATCTACGAGCGTACATCTTAATATCTTCCTAGAACACTTGTTTTTGTTTCACTGTCTAGTTTTTTCGACATGCTTCATGCCATAAATGTTAATAAAAATATTGTCAAAGAAATAATATTAAAAATTTGTATTTTTCTTTATATTATTAAAGTTTAATCTAATCCATAATTATTATTAGGTGCAATGTTTTAGATCGGCCTGAGGTCAATGAACTCCGACTCAGCTAGGTCAATGCTATCTCTATGCCCCCTTTATATGTATCACGTGACGTCTGGAAATTTTAGATAACCAAATAAGGTTTTTATACACCTCTATGATGTACACTGATACCATAATAAATTATATTCATAGAAAAATCGACTTTATTTACTTTACAAAGTTATATGTTATAGGTTTTATAATGTCGTGTATTAAAATCTAATCAGTGAACGTATGCTCTCAAGAGTAATCCTTATTATTTTCTAAATCAGTACATCAGTACAAGCTACCGTAAAGTTCGAAGCCCTGTGGAGAGTCAACTTCGGTCGGGATTCGAACCGGCTAACAATGAATGTTTACATTACATTTGTGCGTTAGAGCAAATACGCCGCCCTTTTTCTCACAATATATCCAGGGCATTTTAACATTTATGTCATAAGACATTAAATTACTTATTGTATGAAACCGTCACGGTTCTTGTATACTTATTAGGCTCCAGTGGACACAGATATTTTAAACGTTAAGCGATTATTCGACTTGACAGAAGTGCGCTATGGGATTTAATATTTAATTTGTTGGCGTCTCTTTGATACCACTTATGTATATAACAGTATTACTCTAATTATTTGTAAGGAATGTTCATAATTTACTTACTGTTATTGATTTTACATATTATTGAGCAATTATTAAAATATATATTTCTCGTTCCAGGTTTGGACAATCGGATATCAAATTCAAGGAGTTCAGTATCGCCGTGAGTAAAAGCTTTTATTAAACACTCATAGATAGTCTCTTTATATAAAAATAAAATATTGAAGATAAATCAAATACATACATACCTCTGTAATTATTCATTGAATATCAGGAATTTATTTTATTTGATAATAATATTCCTTTGTAACTCAATATTGTATAAAATATCAATAGTTTTCTATTACGTATGTATATATAAAATATTTTTGGTATCCAATAATAAGAGTCTTGATCTAAAGCTTTTACTTAAGTGAATAATAAACAAGCAATTAAAGGTGATAAAGTAATATCATAATTTCTTATATGCAAACTGAAAATTACCTAAAAATATCTACCCGACAGCCATTTTAAATATATGTAGTATAATGTATAATTTGCTTAATATATTTTTGTATGTATATAAGTTTTAAACCAATAGTTATTTGTATATGAGAGTTTGGTAATGGGAAATCTATCATTATAATAGTAAGGAAGTATGATTGTCAATTATTTTTATGTCATTACAGTGACGTGGTGAACAAAGATCTCGGTCTGTCAGAGAGTGATGATGAAGTAGCCGCGACCACCACAAGGCTTGAACCGTGAGTTTAACCAATTTTATATGTTGATATGTATTTATATATACTGGTTTTGATCTGAAAGTCGTATGTTTATTTAACTGTATTAAATTAACTTTCTGCTCTATATCCTAGATATGTAAAATTTTATATCGACTGTCAGTGTGATCGAAGCATGAAGTTGAAATCGTTTTTTATATAAATAATATAATGTTTATGGGAATATAAAAATCAGTGCTTATTGATGAAAATGTGTCAAATAATCTGGCTAGAGAATAAATATTATGACCAGTCTTGTTCTAAAGTCAGAATGATTTCTAAAGTACAATATAATAATTTTTAATCTACAATCAAAGTTACTATCAGCTATATGACCCTGACATCGTAAGGTCAACATATGTATCTCAGTGACATTAATAGCAGAAGTAAGTCCAAGCGACCTAGATATGATTACTTCATACGCTTTGAGGTGCAAATTGTTTATGACTTTTTGTCTCAGGCAGTAGAATTATCGATAAACTTGGAATTAGTTTCTGTAGCAAAAAATATTTTTTTTAATAACTAAAAGCTATAAATATATTTACAATTTCCTAAGGTACCACCAGTATCGAATACAAAGAGGTTATCGAAATCTTTCAAGATTTGAAAGGGATATGACGTAACTTATACGAAGTGTGTCGTTATTCGTATAGTTTGAGAGACTATGTTGGTAACCATTACAAATATATTTAAGCGATCACAAGAATATTTTAACAACGAAATAAAATAATTGTAAAACTTGGTTAGTTCATAACAAATTTGACATATAGAAATATTTACTATGTAATAGAGTATCTTAAAATAATTGTACAGCTTTTTCTTTACAACTTTCTTTTATAAAAACAGTGGTAACTATTTGCGTAATTTTTTCTTTAATAAAATTCATTATATTGGAGAACTTATATTACACGTTTGTTACCTTGAATAAAATAAATAATAATATCGTCTATTTTTTTAAATCAACTCTTGAATACCTAATAATTTCTTTTACGCATCAAAAATAATTTGTTATTACAATATATTGAATGTCAAACAACAGGCCGTTAATATAGAAGTTCAGAATAACTAAAGTTTAGATTAGACAATAAACATTACTGAGCATTAAAAGTTTTCTTTTTTTCATTTCTTCTTTTCCTATACGAACATCATTTAATGAAATTAGTTTCTGAGTTATGATCATTTACATGTACACATCCTATCCCATAAGAGAAAAACATAACAAACTTAGGTCATATATGTATAAAGTTTTTTAATCTAGCAGTCTAATACGCAAACATAAAAACTTTTCACTGATAAAAAGCTACATGTAGGTAAATCGCTGGCAACTTTTGTTTATCGACTCGCCAACAAACTTGATTGCAATTGTAAAAGGTTACTTCACACGATTTCTATAAAATGTGTTTGATAAACTACATTATTGCGTGTTTGGATGGCAACTTGTTATTTGCTATTTGGCAGAGATTTATATTAACAGCATTCTAATAAGTAGTTGCAGTATGTTGGAAAAGTTGACATAAAACATATAGGCCGAATTAGAAAAAGTTAACTGAGTTGTTTATACTGTTAAATAAATTATGATAAAGGTACAAAGAGAAAATAAACCAAGAGGCGTAATTATGTACTTAAATTGAACTATTTTATATTAAGCAATTATTATTATCAATTTACATATTCCCGTGTTTTCTATATTTCCTTTCAGCGATGTTTGTTCATCATTGATTGCTATTAACAATAAGGCAGTCTTTTTATACTTCTACATATATACAGTATAGATGAGTAGTTTATTTAATCGTTCCAGCATCCTCTCTCCCATCGGTTCCGGTGGTTCTCCCAGTTCAGGGAGTTCGTCTCCATCAGATTCTGAATCTGAGTCATCATCAGCTGAGTCCAGCCCGGCGGTTGCTCCTCCCGCGCCCGTCCCAGCACCGCAGAGATCCTCTTGGAGCCTCTCGAACTTCGCGCCACCACCACCACCCGACCACGCGGATCTAAGTAATGTTTTGGCCGACGCTAAAGGGAAACCGGTAGGTTGATGTTCTATGACGTTGAGAATAGTCCGCATAAAATCTTTATCCATTACTAATATAATAAATGCGAAATTAACTCTGTCGGTCTGTCTGTCTGTCTGTCTGTTACGCTTTCACGCCTAAACCACTGAACTAATTTTAATGAAATTTAGTACAGAGATAGAGTTGACGTTGAGAAAGTACATAAGATAGTTTTTATTCTAGACTTTTGAAAGGTTCTCTTGGAAACGCGATATAACCGAACTCTAGTATGCTATAAAAATAACTTGCCTAAAAAAATGATTCCATTGAAGATGTTTCGATAGTTAATGTATGGTTTTTATCATTATAATAAAATTATACCTTTAAATTTTTATAATATATGTAGAATGTTCCGGAAGCCAATCTTAAAGCTCTACGCGTAATTTCTTGGTGTATGCAAAAATTACATCGTGACTTGTTTTTCAATAACGTTTCGTTTCTCGAAGACTTTATCAGTTGTATTGAGTTTCAAGAGATAAACACTTCTTCGTATATGGCTACTGATTCAGCAATGTGTGCAAGGCGACTCTAAATACGAACAATTGCGATTTAGACTCGTCCAAGAACATTAGTGTTTTATTTATGGCTGCGATTTAATTTGGCCCGCAATAAGGTTTTATAAATCTTAAAAGTAGCAGTCTAATGTAATGGACGACAATTTGTTCAAATTTATTATAAACATCATGCATCGTATAGTTTGCCATCGTGAAAGGAGTGTCCAACAGAAATGGATAGATTTGGCTGTGTTGAAATCTAATCTAAGGAGAGGTCTTGGGAGTTTGGAAAGCAATATCGACGATATTCCACCGACCGATAGGAATAAAGTATTAAGTGCTTATTTTAAATTAAAAGATATGTTATGGAAAGCAGTTGGGGCGTTGCACGGGAACATTACGGATATGTGTCATGTACACTAATTATTCAAATGTGATACAATGTGTTAGTAATATGATCATTTATCTTTCGTTTCTATGTTACAGAGCCCAATTTCAGAGTTATCCGACTCTGAAGCCTCATCGCCCTCTCCTGGCGCGAGGAGACGGAGATCACTTGCTAACAGGACTTCTGCTGCCTCTAGTGACGATGAAGCACCAAGACCCAACCCGGTAAGATATATGTAGTATGAAATAATGGTCATATATTGTATCAAGAAGAATACCAATACGAAATAATATCTAATTTCTCAGTCCTATACACTTATAATTAAATATAATCTCAACCACATAACATTATATTTTCAATCAGGTTCGAGCCCAAACCTCGCCCACCATAGCTCAGAACACGGGTGTGAAACGCGGCAGGCCCCCCAAAGCTCGGACTTCGGAAGAAAGGCCCGCAAAGAAAAAGCGAGGCCGACCTCCGAAGACGAGGCCTCCCTCACCGGCCCCCGACAGTGAGGCTGAGGCTGACCCCCCGCAACACCTACAGGAAACAAAGACACATATATTCCGCAAGGTACATATTATATTTTATGTATATACCAGACTTTTATAATCGTTAAAGCTAACACTATGAACCTGCATTTTGCTAAACATAAATGTTAAATGAAAAAAAAGATGTGCGAGGATTTATGATTACACTGTTAACACTCCATATTAAGCGCGACGATGCCTCCTTATAATATACTAGATATATATGGTCTTAATGGTTTTGTAGACTTCTGACGGCAACACATATTTGCTTGATAGATGTCCACAAAACATACATATAATACAAACACTACAATTCAAATGTCGTGCTACAACTAACGTTAAAAAAAAGATTTTTTGTTGCTATACTAAATACCAATATTTTCAGGTTTTCACGCCCAAGAAGACGGACGATGGATGCGGTGGAAAAGGTGGAAAGGGTGGGAAAGGAAAGGGAAGTAAGGGAAAGAGTCAGGTGACCATCATAGAGGTGACGGCGCCTGAACTAGGTACTGGCGGTGAAGATAGGAGGCATCGGGAGCGATCAGCGGAACGAAGGAACGAAGAAGCGATCGCTAGAGTATCACCGCCACGGGAACCGGAAACACTCACACGGAAACGAGAAGCGGATAGGATGGCCAACGAGAGGATACAGGAGAGAGTCTCCATAGAGAGGCACGACCGGATACAAGACAGACCTGACAGAACCTCCATCGACCGGATACTGGACAGAACCGAGCGGATACCCGAGAGGAGATCCAGCGACCGATTACCGCCCGACAGAATATCCAACGATCGGATATCATCAGACCGATTGTCGGATCGATCCTCCCTTAACAACTCGGAAAGGAAATCCACGGATCGGTTATCATCAGACAAAATGTTGATCGATCGGATACACGGCGATCGGATTTCGGTCGACAAAATATCTCACGACCGGCTATCCGGCGATAAAATGTCGCACGAGCGGTTGTCAAGTGATAAACTCTCCCACGATAGGCTGTCGGGCGATAAATTGTCGCACGATCGACTATCGAATGACAAGATGTCGCATGACAAATTATCAATAGACCGGTTATCAGGGGATAAGTTACCTTTAGATAGAGTGGAAAGGGTCGCACCGGATCGATATATAAGGGCGGAGGCTGACGTCGGTTTCGTACAAAATTCATTACCAAACGGTGAGCATATACATACAATAAAATAATATATACATTTCATACTAATGAAACTATTCATAGTAATAGCAGCAGACGCAGCATTTTGTATGCCATTTAAAGATTATATCTTACTATGTTATGGTAAGCTCTTTTTATTGTATATTATTATTAGGTGTTATTTTTAAATTAATGTAATAAGAATAATCATAATAAACGGCATAAAAAATTTTGTATGACAACAACTAGAGGCATTAAAGTACTGAATATTTCTTAGAAATATTAAAGGCAAAGTCAACAAAAGGTGATAACTGAAAACAAAGTATAAATTTTTGTATACAAATTAAATAAGACGCAGAAATTGCTCATTGGTCATTTTATTTACTCAATTTATCACGTTTCGTTGTACTATGCCTAAATTGAAAGTTGCTTATGAAAGACTTTTATATGATAATAACCATTTTAAATCAATCAGTTAATAATATAAAAGTAATATTTGAATGATATCTCACACTAGGTTCAGAGCGTCGTCGGTCACGATCGTCTCGTCTAACAGTGTCTATACCTCTGGCAAGATTGAGAGTTGAAACACTACGAGTGTTACAACGACCACAAAGAAATGCCCCAGCGCCCACACCGCCCACGCCACCCACACCGCCCACGCCGCCCACTGACCACGTGAGCATACATTTATATATATAATATATGTCTCTTTGGTTAAACATTTAATACACATATAAATAACTTTGTGTTAACTATTTACATATAGGTATGTGGTCCTAACCTGATTAAAATTTAATATACTTTTATTTTACATATTAAATACTTTTGTACAGAGTATTATCTATATATGTAAAAGAAAGTCATGTTAGTTACTCCACTTATAACTCAAGAACGACTGAACCGATTTAGCTTAAAATTTTGCAGGAAGGTAGTTTAGGGCCAGGAAATTGCAATAGGATACTTTTTATCCCGTTCGACAGCACTCCTGTGGGACTTGACATGAAACGTCAGTCACTATAAAATGTGGAATAACGAAACACAATTGACAGCTATGCAATTGACGTAGAATGACAGATATGTAATGACGTAATGATGATAATTAGATATTTGTAAGACATCTACTATATAAAAATAAGTCCGGTTTTCCATCCTGACGCTATAACTTCAGAACGAACGAACCAATTTCCACGGTTTTGCATTTGTTGTAAAACATGTACTACAAATCAATATTTTAAGTAGATGGCGCCGGTGCATGATACATTGTTTGACAGCTACTCATTGTTCTCTGCTCAGTTAATTTCATGTGACAAACCGGTATTGTGTTTTTAGTTTGAACTCTTAAAACCATTTAGTATTTGCGGGATTTTAGAAAATCATTGTTTTTCACATGGGCGTTATATTTTGCGTGTTCACGAGTTTGTAAACCATTCGCTTTATTTGTGTTAAAGTTAGACCAAAAAATAAAAAATATGGTTTACAAAGGACCACTTCAATGAAACGGATAATTTGCGGACACGTATAACGCTTCGATTCGGTATCTACTTTGGATTCACTTTCATTTACTTAGAGAAGTTCAACTAAATAACACTTCATTTTTGTAATCGAAATGAATTCATTACTGTTGTGAAATGAAATAAAAATTTTCCTTTTCAAATGTAAAACAAAAAAATCTTCATCTTTTAATCACCAAACGAAATGTTATATAAAAGCCTTCTGGTGGCGAAACGTAGTTCGCCGGGTTTACTAGTTTACTAATATATCTTAAACGCCTCTCTTTACTAATATGTAGTTTAATTCGTATATAATCCACGTTTTCAGACGCTAGAGGGTGGTAGTAGCGGCGTAGAGCGCGCTGGTCGTACTCCTATATACTATTCATACTTTGAAAGACTACCAGCCGACGCCCTCTCTGACGAGGAAAGGGACCACAAGTAAGTTTATTATTAAGAAAATCTTAATATAAAGTATATATTATATGTATATGGCCTCCATTTTGTTTGATGATTTACGAAATTAATACTATCGTCTTATTATCGTCTAACATTTTATCTATTTAATCAAAGTATAATTTGTATATGTATATGGTTGTAGTAGTTTTTTATATATTTTTCTAATAACCTTCAACAGATATTACCTCGGTGAAGCGAAACGTCTGCGTACAGAGGCTGAGAGGGAACAGGAGCCGCTCGCGCGAGTGATGCTGTATTTAGAGTCAGTACTGTGCTTCGTCCTGACCGGTCGAGTGCTGGAGCTAGAACTAGATACTAAACGAGCCTTCACCATATATAGAGAGACTATCGAATATATCAAATCGATACACTCGATGCCACAACGATTCAGAGCCTCCCCGCATTCAACATTCAGCAAGTTGGATATCTTGAGGTGATAATTTGTAAATTTATATGAATACTAGCTTTACGCCCGCAGCTTCGCCGCGTGCAGTTCGGCTATATCGCGTTTCCAAGAGAACCTTTCAAAAGTCTGGGATAAAAACTATCCTATGTTATTAGTCAAGGTCAACTCTATCTCTGTACCAAATTTTATTAAAATCAGTTCAGTGGTTTAGGCGTGAAAGCGTAACAGACAGACAGACAGAGTTAATTCCGCATTTATAATATTAGTAGGGATATGATAAATATATTTGTTTTCATATCATTAAATAATGTATGAATGTTACGTTTCAGTTTGCGTGTACAAGCGTTGCTATACTTACGCATGTTCAAGATGTACAGTCGTGAGGTGAAGGAATACAATAAGATCGTACAGGAGTATCAACAGAAGGTATACAATACAATACAATATTGCGTATTATATTATCATTACTAATAAACTATCTATGATACAGTACAGAACTAACGATTGACGATCATATTTTTGTCTATACGTATTAATGTGAATTATTTCAAATATATGTTACGTATACTGAAAAATATTGATACTCAACCATTGACATATACTAATGGACATTCCTTAGAGATGAGAATTGTGGCACTCCGAAAGAAAGAGAGAAAACGAAGTTTGGGTCTATCTTTATCTCTTTGAATAATACCGTACTGACTGAGCTCCAATCATCGATAAGAAAGAGAGAGTGCTAGACCGAAAGCATAGGCCAACTCTCTCAAACCAAAAAATCACTGCAGATTATTCGCGTACGGCATGTCCATGAGACGAAACCTCTTAGCATTCAATGGATTCACCGTGCGGGTGTCGGGTCCATCGTTGTAGTGAGAGGAGCTTCAACAGTGCCTGGGACTTGCGACCCAGGTGTAGGTTTAAGGGTCTATCTAAAGCGCGTTATACGCTCACCTCCACTGTCCAAGCTCCTCTCCCTACCTAACCAAATTTGAAAAGAACCTACTAGGGCTGCCTTCGATGTACGTTACAAGAATGCATGTAATGTATATGTCGATGTACTGAACCGTATATATCTATAATCCGTATTATGTTTATTCCAGCCGGCGTGTGCGGAGGCTGTATCAGGCGCGGCGGGTGTGACCGTATCATCTGCTCGCTCGGCGTCCCCCCTCTCTCCTTCCCCTTCCCCCGCGGGGTCGGTCGGCTCGGGCTCCGGTTCCGGCTCGGGCTCCGGTTCGGGCTCGTCGGGCTACTGTTCGCTAGCCCCCGGCGCCTACTGTACACTCGCCCACGCAGTGCCAGCACACGCACACCACGCACTCCTACAACTGACCAAGTATTACACGTTCCTGTACGTAGCGCACGACCTGTGGGAACAGGCGGACTGTTTATGTCGACTGAGACCCAATCAAGGTGAATATTATATAAATATTATACTTAACATTTCTCATCTCGATTTTTGTAACACTAGTTACCCGCGGATTTCCGGAATGTAAAGTAGCCTATATGTTATTCCTGTACGTCAGCTTCCTGTATACAAAATTTTATCAAAATCGGTTCAGCCGTTTGAGCGTGAAGAAGTAACAAACATACACACACACTCACAAACTTTCGCAATTATAATATTATTATAATATTAGAAGGATTTCTATTTCTAATAGACTTCACGAAATAAGGTTCAATTGTTTCTTTATTTTTATTTATGCATGTTACAATATACTGGTTAGATAAAAAAAATATTACAAATAAATTTAAATATCCTTAAATAATAAATGAGCTGTGTCTTTATATGCTTACTAAGCTTTTATTATTTTAGTGTATATATAAGTTATGTTATATAACGACCTCCATGTGTTTTTCAGATCTATTCATCGCCGTGGACCGTAAGTGCGGGCCTCTAACCTTGTTCTCAACGTTCCGTCACCTCGTACAGTACGTGCGTCACGCTATATCGCTCCTCAAGAACGCCGCCAGGGAGTGACACACCAAGTGACCTCGTGACGTCACGCCCGCAGGTTTCATACTACCCACAGTTACCGTTGTATAATATATACATTGTACATCTATCATACACTTATCAGTTCTGATGTTAGTTACTTAATTTTATATATATAAGTTACATTTTCGTATGAACGGACTAAATTTATTTTATCTAATGTTCATTTATCACATGATAGTTATTTGATTTAACAAGACAACTGTATTCATCGAGTATTCTTCGCCTAATTTTCGCATTAAGCTTGTCATCGGTCTAAGTTATTATTGTTATATGTCTCGTACAATTCATATGTTAAAAATTATTTTGTAATGTTTTTTCTCTGTATACGTATTTTTTTTTTATTGTAACCGGGTGATTGTTTATCGATTCATATTAACATGAAATCATCGATTTATAATTTTAACACAACATTTAATGATCGGGAGATATTGTATTGAGATTCGTGTAATTAATTAGTTCAACATAAACAAAAACATTATTTCTCGCCTTTTAAATCATCTTTTAAAGATACTTAGTAGAATAGTTATATTTTTTTATTAATTATTATCAAGATGGCACTCGCAACGTTAATTATTACGTAAATTTATTTTAAAACGGCGATTATATTTTACATTCATTAATCAGATGTAATTATCATATATATTTTTTTTTACAAAACGGTATATTTTGAATATAGAAGTAGCTTATTTTATTTATAATATAAATATATATATGTATGTATTTCTGGTAGCTCAGCCAGTTGTAGTGTGAACTCGGCCTTAGAAGGACTCGCTAGATTCATTACTTAAGTAACGAAACAAATTGATTGACCAGATCAAACTATTAATAAAAATGTACAATATTTTATGCGAAGGAAGATTTAAGTTAAACAAAACCTGTGGTAGTGAGTGACTCGTGATCTTGACGGCCAGACATCAATAATATGATTTGTGTTTGATACTTCATTAGTTAATTAAGTTTTATTAAAACAAAACGTTTGAAATTAAATTGCATTTCTCTCTCACTAAGTTTTGCATTTGATCGATTTTAATTATTACTTGTCGTATATCGTCCAGATGTCGTTTTTTATAATGAAATCACAAAATTCGTATATGAATCCCAATCGACTGCCAAAAAAATTTAAAAAATTCTTCGATCGCATTAATTTCACTTCCCAAGATGATGACCAAAAAGTTGTATAAATGTATATAGGGTCGCCAAGCGACCGCCGGCTCGCCCGGACTATAGTGACTGTAAGTAATAGAATAATCATATCTTAAGTGTTTTCTTTGTCATTTGTGTTATCTTTGTAAATGGTTTTTTACGAGCACTAGACACGTGCGGGCCAATCGAGTAATATCTCAACACTGAAGGGATCATTTAGACGCCGTTTTGTGATTTAGTTTCGCTTACCTCGTAGTTGGGATAGTGAGACGTTTCGATCTATTGAAATGTAGGATAAAAATAAATAAAACAAACAATTTGAATGGTGAACAATAATTTATCTCTGAACAATGTCGAGCAAAAGGTGCAATTTGATCATTATTTCTTATACATATCAAATTTTTCGATGGGTTATGGTGACCGGTTTAGTTGTAACAGTATACTCGTCATTGGTATTCGGAAGGACAATAATTGTGTTTTAGGCGAGCTAGTATCGACGCGCTGAACTAAGTCGTATTGATATATGACGACTATCGGTCGTCTGAACATAATGAAACATATTTTGTAATATAATCTATGAGAGTACAATTCGTAACCGTGACATCAATTCCTTTATATCCGTAACACCAAACAATATTTCTCTCGGTTGTTTGTCAAATGTATGTTGTGATTGTAAATATATATTATACATTTTGTAATAATATACATGTTAGTGTGAGATAGGTTTTTGTATGAATGTTTATATTAAGTAGCTTTGTCCGTGTGTCGCGATCGTGATGGCTTTTAATGCCATGTAATGCTTCGCTAGTTTAATTGTTGTTATTTGATTTGTCGCCATTACATATTAATAGGCTTGACATACGCGTGGCAACACTGTTAGTGGTTATGGCGGAGTCGCGACACTGGCAACACTAGCCGTCGCTATAGGATTGAACTAACACGGGATCTATGTTAGTAACGAAAGCCTTGTACATAGTATTGTATAAGAAATGTGTAGTTTTCATTCTATAATTTAATTTATGTGTAAACTATAGTTATTATATAAGACGAGAACATAATAAAATAAGATTATATTGTGAGTGTTTGTGGCGAGGCTTGAGACTCGTATAGTAACTATCGATGGAGCTTGCAGCGTTCATAACACTATTGTATAGTAGACGGTGCCGTGTGCCTAGTGAGATACACATCGTTTTAACTATCATACTGACAGTCGAACGGTTAGCGTTGGACACTCGTACTAACGCCAGTCTCACCCACAGCTAGTTACCTGTCGTGTTCCGATATCACATTGATGAAGTTTGAAACGCGCTCAAGCTTTCAAAATACCTTCCCCTTTCATTCGGTACTTATTCGCACAAATTATTTATAATATTTTAATTCGTTATTTATTATGACATTGTTTAATTTATTGTACTGCACTTACAATACGCGATACTTAATCTTACAACTACATTCACGAGGCGTTTCATATGGATTGTAACGTTAATACAAGTTTGTATCGGAAACAATATATTATGATCGTTATTACCCATATAACTATGGAACTGTAAGTTTGTACGTAGACGATGCAAACTCGTATTAAAGATACGGTTTATGAATGTAACAGAGGCCCGTGTGAACTTTAGTTTTCTTTGTTTTTATCATCTGACATATTGTATATAATTTGATATATTATTTATTATCGTTCGGTATGAAACTTGAACAGCATCTGTTTCGTGAACTCGCAGCATTGTACTTTTGTTTACTTTGTTAGTGTTCTTAGTTATAAATTACAATTTGTCTCGGTACATTATACATTTTGTTGCTTATTTAATTTTTAAGCTAATCGAGTAACGGCTTTCGATACTAGAGTTAAAAAGTGAATATCAAGTGTCCTTTGTAATCTGCAATACAAAATTTTACAGATAATAAAATGTTAACATAGGAGCATAGACTAGCATTTAGCTATGACCTATGTTATGTTCTGATAATGTGTTCCGTACGTGTCGATTCACGGCAATATCTGGACCACGAATTATCACGACAAAATGAACCCTAAAATTGACGCCAAATTTTTTAAACGACAATTTTATATTTTAAGTAATCTGTTTATCGTCGGGCGATCGTCTTAGGAAATTGTAAAATACTGTTTTTTTATTCATTTGTCTTTTCTTTAAGTAGCATCTTGTGTTGATAGCGTGTATAATTTGTTTTTTTTTATATTTACGTTAAAAGATATGTATAAATTTGTTTTTCTTTAATTTTATTATTTGTGTAACTATGCCCTATGTTATTGATGATAGAATACATTCATTTTTATGTATAGTATATTTTTCTTTCTTTTTTCCCCCTTTTTATTCCTTAAGTTTGATTTGTTTTTTATTTTTATTTAATATGAATTGTGTTTCTTTAATAATATAGTCAATTTAGCGTCGTTAATTACTCGAGATGGGGATTGTGAGCGGTGAAAATTATACCTCGTATAGAAGCAATTATGACTAATATTTTATATATGCTTTTTATAATGTTAGCGTTAAATAAGACTTCGGTCAATTCAGTGTGGACGTGACATTACAAACAGTTTTATATTACATTTACATCAGCTAGCAATTTTAGATACATATATGTTGTTTTGAATCGTTTTGTTATCGCTGTGGCTACAGTTCATTAACAAAACTTAATAATACAATATGTCCCAATGAAATTAATTAAAGTGAGTCATAATGCCTTATAGAGTTGAATAGTATCAGTTTTAGGATACGTGAGTATTTATAGGTAATACAATACGTACATTTACACAGACAGTTGATATTACATGTTTTATTATTACCATTTTAAATGTATCAGGATACATTAGACGATTGTGTTCATTCAAATGAAAAATATGTTGACAATTTTTATTATATGTATACATATATATACGTCATTAATTTTTGTAGTGTATTAAACTACAAACAGAATTAGCGATTAACAGAATATGGAATATTTCACAAAACAGAAGCACAAATAAATTTATATTAAAATGATCTTGTGCTAAATTTGTTCGTGTGAAAAACATTATGTAGATACATAACAAGTTCGCTGCAAGCTCACGTGATCACAACCAGATATGAATATTAATATTAGAACGACGTAACACTGCCTTTACTCGGTTATATGGAGAATTGGAGAAAAGAAAATAACTTTTTATATTTATTTACGCATATGAAACTAAAATAAAGTAGCACACATTATTGAAACCGTGTAATACATTAGTTTAAAAGAAATGTAACCGAGTGCTTCGGACGCTTCCAAATTAATTTGAATATTTTATAAATTGGAAGCATCCGTACGAAGCTTTTGTATACGATAGGTAAGAAGTTATGAACGAGACGCCAATATACAAAGAAAACGCCAAATACGTTACTCAAAACTTGGCGGATGACACTGCAAGGAAAGCGAACAGAAAGGTTAAGGCCGCGTGAAATATATTGGCAGATTTATGTTCGCTTGCTTATTTCTCATTTCACAACAATGTGTTGAAATCTGCCAAGTTATTTCAAGTGACCTTTAATGTTATTGGGTCAGAAAAGTGTCCTAATGAATATTCATATTAGCTGTAAGTGTATTTGTTAGTTATAGTTTTTAAGTAAATCGACCAGAATCTGTTGGTTTAACATCCGATAGACCTTTCTGTTACTCGAAAGGTATTTGCGGTGTCCTCCGCCTCTATCACCGCCTGCTAGTTTGGTTTTGGTTAAAGTGAATTTATTTATTAATAGTTGTTATTTTAAAACGGCATAGCTAATATGTTTTGACTCCTATCAAAGATATGATAATTATTCTCGCGTTTGACCAAAATCAAATATTCGCGGGAACTTTAACAAAATGGAACAAGAGTATAAACATTAATTATAAGTGAAACGAGTGTCTAATCGTATCTTCTAAAAAAAATATCGCAGAGATATGTTTACAAAGAATTCTTATAGCATATATGAAACGGATGGTTCACATTAATGTAAATTTAATTATAAGTTCGTGTCTCGATGTTTAATTTTAATACAAAAGTAGACAGCAGCTAGCGAAATACCTCACGGCCGAGGTAGGAAATTTAATAATTTATTTTAGAGTAAATAAAGTTCAAAGTGGAAATTAAAATTGTGCCTTAGTGAGAAATCGGTCAGCCAATTCAGTTTGGAGGTGATGAACGATGTGGTGGTTACAAATGTCTTAAATCTGAACAATGAAGTAGCTTGAATTCACTCCAAAGCGCCTGTATTTGTCGCAGTACACTGTACACTCATGCACGAAATGTATAGATAATTATTGTTTAACGAGATGACCCCCTCTGAGTTATTTGAACTAAATTAATGCAATAATTTTTACAATATTTTGTTTTATTGGATGTTGTAATTGATTATATTTACATTATATTATAAAGTAGATCAGTATGTATATGTCGTAGCAATAATTTAAGAGTGGCAATAAGGTCTAGTGGTTTTGCTTTGGTGTCTTCGGATATACTATTAAGATGTGTAGTCCCCTGTCCCCGCTAGGTCCCGCTCCGACGCTGTACACTGCTTACCGAAACTAGACTATGTTCAAAATCTTGACGTTTTTAAAATATATTTTATCATACATAATATCGAAAATTAAGTAGAAACGATTTATATTAAGTATTTGATATTTCATCGATGTGCGTGTTCTAATTAATTTATAAATTCGCTATTTTGTAGCATTTTACGAATGAATGGCTTGAGAATATTCGGCTTCTTCTATTCTGACCGCTTTACCCGTGATGCATCAACCGTGTTATACCACAGCATTACCGGCCGCTTGTCTGAACAAAACAAATCATAAACAAACGTGGTTCATTATATCTAATTGTTTCTCGTCCAATTTAGTTAGACTTGTTTGTTATGTTTTCCATGTATACAATTATAAGACAAAGTGCCAAGAGACGCAGTTTTCCAAAGTGCAATTCGATTCTTATCTATATGTATGTTATATATTGTACCTCTGCATTGTAATACATCTTTTTAGTGCATACTATATTGCTTAGCCTACAAAAACTAATACAGAATACTTCATAATAAGAAACTTTTTTAGTTTTCTCAATCAAGAACTAGTACGGAACATTGAACTTATTAAGAAGTATCCTGTAACTCGAAAGTGAGAAAATATACGGACATTTTTGTAAGAGGTAGAGTAACTGAAGGGATGGTCCGGTCGCATCCTAAATTATTTTTGGTAGATTCAATGCGGACGCGAGTATATAAGTGTGATTATTGTTACCGGCTTCGCAATGTATCGTCCGCGTCACTAGTGTAAGTTTCATTAAGTAGTGCGTGTTAATATAAGACAAACTAAGATAGTGTAAAATTGTTTCCCACGCCCGTCAGGCGTTAGAAAATATTATTTTTCTTAGATCACATTATATGACACGTGGGCGGTAGTGACGCGGGAGTTCAGAGGATATTTTTGTACGCGTCACCACCGGGGTTTGTTATGTTTAAGAGGAAATATCTATTGTCTATTCCAAGGGTTGAATAACTACCAACACTTTTTTATATTACAATAATTATAGAAATTATTATTGAAATCTTGTTTTCTTTCATTACCTGTCACATGCTTTGACTAACACACCAATAGCATACTTTCAGGAAATGAGTAATTGAAAAATTGCTCTTTTATAAATCAAATAAAACATCTCATATAATGTTATATTTATTATATTTTAATTCCTAACATGTTTCTTCTTCTTCTTTTTCTTGTTGGAGTGAGCTTCTATAAGATCATCGATTTCTTTACTGTCGTCACCGAGTCTTTTTTCTCCGCTGCAACAATAAATTTTATATATACGACTTGTCCAAGAACAATTATATATATAGAGCAATGTCTATTATTTTAATAATCAATTATTATTAAAGGTAAGTGAAATTATTAGGTGTCACCTGCGTAGAACCGTGTGCAACTTCATTCACAATAATAAGTGTTGTTTGGTATAAATAGAGACCAGGCCAAATTAAAAACAGTCTTTAAAATTAAGGAGGATACAGAGGAAAGGCATTTGTGACGTTATGTTGATATCATACTCTTTAGAAACCAATGGAGTGGTCTTAATAAAAATAAATATACATCCTTAACGGAAAAGTTAGTACTGTATTACTATATTACAAAATTGAAAAAAAAATCGTTCCACAAATACTTAGCCGAAAAAGAAAAATACATTACATTGCATTTTGAGACAGGACATGTAAGTGACCAAGAAAAAGTATGTAAAGCACTACACACACATGTTACGTATTCTGGGTGAATCTGATTATGGTTCAATATCTTCATGAGAAAACTTGATACATATATGTATCAAGGTGAGTATGTTTGCAAAATCATTCGTATTTACGATAACAACTCCAAATTTTAGTATATAAAAGCTTCTGATGTAACAAATCATTAATAGTTGTCTTTATAATTTTAATTATATCTTATAAAACAAAAAAATTAGTTAATATAGTATATATAGATAATATAGTTCAGTCGTGACCTAGTGATTAAAAGGCCCGCCTTTCATGCACGAGGGCGTAGGTTCGATCCTTGCCCGGGCAAGTACCAATGTGATTTTTCCAAGTCATAAGTACTTTGTAAGAGTATTTAGACATCACTGATTAATGCATTCCCAAAACAGGGTTTGATGTCAGGTAGGCGGGCCGGTAGTAAAAAAAAAACAATTAGCCAAAACTATTCACAACATGTAAGGCAGACCCTGGCTATAGCTGGGAAATTGCCAGGTGGAAGAAGAAGTATATATAGATAATTTAAGATATAATACTCTACTAGTAATGGTAGTCTACTCTCTGGCTGAAGCTGGGAGATTTCTAGGAAGAAGAAGAATAATATTATCTCACCTCTTAACTGACACAATTCCTTGTGTTTTTTTAACAGCCTTGCCCCAGTCGAGGTCACTGCCCTTGATGCTGTATTGTTGAAGATCTTCACCCATCAGACGTGATAACTCCTTACGTTGTTTGCGATCCAATTCCTATAAAAATTTGAAGGTTTTTGGGAGAATTCTCTTATATATTTGCAGATATAAAAAGTTGTACAAAGTATTAGAAAATATTTTTTTTTTGAATTAGTGTTAAGAAAATGAAAATTCTTATATACTTGAAAAGCTTTATAACAAACGCTAAAAACTTAATTGTAATCGAAAGAAAAGACAGATAGATTTAAAAACCAAATTTATTTCTGTATTTAAATATAATTAATATACCAATTACAAATAATACCTTAGCGGCCTTCGATAGTTCGTCGTGTAGACTTTGTTTCAGCGGTTCATCATTTTTAACTTCTGTGTTATCTTCTATACCCATTTCTTTAGCCACGGTATCTTCTAGAATAGAATTTAGCGCGGTATTAATCTTCTTGCAGGCCTCGTAGAACTTAGCTAGTATCTGTGAGGTGGGTAGTCCTAACTCGCTGGCTATATCATCAACATCTTTCGTTTGAAAACCCATCGCTATGAAGGTAACCTGAAATATACACTAAATTAATACTAAATAGCGACAAGTGAGCATATTTAAAAAGTCCAAATATGTAGCAAATTTAAAAGATTTGTATAGCCTCATGGAGATACCATAATATCCCTACTAAAATTATAAATGCGAAAGTAACTCTGTCTGTCTGTCTGTTACGCTTTCACGCCTAAACCACTGAACTGATTTTAATGAAATTTGATACAGACATAAAGTTGACCTTGAGAAAGAACATAGGATAGTTTTTATCCCAGACTTTTGAAAGGTTCTCTTAGAAACGCGATATAACCGAACTCCACGCGGGCGACGCTGCGGGCGGAAAGCTAGTATCAATATAAATTTAAGTCTTGAGACTTATAATATATGGATTTATGAATCAATAACTTAATACACCACGTATTTAGTTCTAAGCACACTTGTGGTAAGCTTTATAATACTATTTTACCTGTTGTATAGCATCCATTTTAATTTTATTCTTAGTATGGAACACTATATGTGCCAGCGGTGACAGTAAGTCAGTTATCAATCTATATTCTGCTTGTTGTCTCGTGTATGACTCTATACGGGAGAGGTCGTGACCGGATAAATGTTGCTGAATTATCTCCTTCGTTAAATCTGTAATAATAATTGATATAAATTATTTATGGGAAAATATATAACTTATATTACAATAAATTTCACAGAAGAATTTTCACAGTTATTTTGGCATGTAGTTGATTAAAAAAAACAATTAAAAAACAAATATAGCAAAAACATTAACAACGATGAGTAACAAACATACATTTTTCTACAATAATCATTTATAAAGAAAATAAAAACGATAAATTTGTGTATACATACAATAATAATTAATTATATCTGAATATAATTTTGCATCGTAATATCTAAGGATTGTTCTTTAAACTACAAATACAATTAGATATTTGGTTAAAAAAATTAATATTATTATATTAAATGTACCTTAAACAAATAGATATACTTACTGGGTTTATCAATTTTTATACTATCATTCTGTAAGGTAGACAGCGCTAGTGCCGCGGGCAGCTTCCTAAATGATCTAGACAATAGTCTTGAGAATCTGAGTCTAAAGTCTGCGTTGTACGCGGACAGCCAGTCGCTGGTGTGTAGTGAACGTATCATTATACATGAATATTCACCCGTTAGGTCATTAGCTTTTTGACTGAAAACATACATACATAATAAATAATAATCAAATTTTATATAATTATATTTAGGATTTCTGTTAATATTTACATAAATATGTGAAAAAATCACAAATTTGAATCAAGTAGAATTCAACGTTGGTAATTTTAAAATATGGTTCGAAATACAGTTTCAGATTTGTTTTTCAATGTTTAGAGTTACTTCCAGTAACGTATTGGAAAATGGCTGAAGCCAAAATTGCAGTTTTCAAATACAAGTTAAAAAATTACAGTGGTTCAGTATTATAATTAGTCAACTCTAAGGATTACAGTACAGTAGAAACTCTATTAACCGGACTAATTGTTGTCGATAGGCATTCGGATAATAGAAAATCCGGATAATCGAATGTATGAAGAAAAGCCGGTTTTGTGCATATGTAGTACATACATAATATTATATGTTTATATAAAAAATAAATTACAATATGTATTTGGTAATTTGCAATCGGTAATCATGAATTAAAATAATAGGTTAATTTGGTATAGAATATGTGGTAATTGTTATTTGACGTACGCCACTTTCAACAACACCACTCTCTTACGCTTTGACATTTATTCTTGTCCTGACCCGTCCGTAGTCCGGATAATCGCGAATCCGTATAACTGGGGGCCGGATAATCGAGTTTCTAATTTATCAAGACTTAATCTACCTGAGATAGACCGGCATATATTTCTGTGATTTCCAAAACTTAAGTAAGTCTTCGGTTAGTCCAAAGCTCGTACCCAAATAGTCCAAATGTTCCGCTCTCATTTCCGTCAAACGTCTCAGTAATGTTGGAGGCTTGGCTCTAGAAGAATAAGAAAAAATTAAAGTTATTCTAAACTCTTTTCATAGTAATTATGGCCATACATTTTATTAACCAACAGAAAAAAATGCTACGATGTATTATGTACTATGTAAAAGAGTGTTTTTCTTTAAAGGAATTGATATTAAAATAATATTAAACAATATATAATTTGACATATTTGCATTTCGTTGTTTATCTATTGATCGCTATGAAATCATTCAATATTATAAGCAAGAAAATGTTTTCGATATGTATTATAGAAGAAGTACAAAACCTAATTATGACGTAATTTTTAACTAATAACAAAGACAATTAAACCAAAATTTAAATAAATATTTACCAACACATAATACAAATATTGCCAAAAAAATAATGATATTAGACTAATAAACTAGCCCACAATGTACCATAATTTATAATAATATATGTTGTAATAATATATAATTTAATCATTGTTTTATATAAATATATGTCATATATTACCTGGGTCGTATATCCTCAGTATGTAAGGTATCTGCTTGTTTGTCAACATCATTGTCTTCGTCGCTGTGTGTTTCATCCATACATAAAATTTCTCCAGTGTAGTATGCAGCTAGCTGTTGTAAGGCTCGCTTGCCATAACCCATCTGATAAAGAATATATTATGTTATAACAAACATATGAATACTGTATTAATTTTAATAAAATTTAAATGAATATAATTAAGTGAATTTATTGAAATTCATTTGATAAAAAAAAATATATGTATCATCATTATTACCAAGAACAAAACTAAATTATTTATGTTAACATCAAATATTAAATTACAAAATGTTTCCATAACATTTCTCTGTAGAAATAATTTGAATCTAAATGTTATAAGAAGCGATAATATTGCACACGTCAAATAATAAATTGTATTTTTATACTTATTATGATTTCGACGGTCGGTGGATGCAATGAAACCAAAATTATTTGACTTAATTTAATTAAAAGTAAATTACAACTAGGGTGCGACTATGTTGCACAAAGGTTGAACAAATAATGACAATAAATCTAATAAAATTCTTAAAAGAAATTTTATAATCTAAAAACATAAAAGAAATATAAAACCAAAAGCTGTCTTCACACGGAACTGCTGAGTCAGACCCGTGTTTAATAGGCGAGTTTACCCAGAAGCTAAGGCGTCCTCTGATTACACCGTATAAAGATAATTATATTTTAATTAAACGACCACTTATGAAACCGTCATATAACATACTCTGTCTTGTATAAACAAGTCGTCGTTTATAATCTGTGTACATATTAATATTTATTATGTATATACCCGTTGATAGCTGGGATGTGTTGCTATCCTCACAATCCTAGCTCCCGATAGTTTAGGGAAGTCTCTATCTCCAAACTGTTCACACACGTTCCACGGTATAAGGTCACCGGCCGCCTTGCGACCACGACCCAAACTATCTTTCACAGACCTGCATATAAAATATATTACTTAATTATCCTTAGTTATAAATATATTCCAAATTCAAAAACTGTTTTTAAATTTTTCGAGACATTATTTTTGCAACATGAATTTTTATAATAATGAACAAGAACGCAATTTTTGTTCAAACAGCATAGACAATTAAATTTATTTCATATATATTTGTGTATTTACGATTTTTCAAAGTAAAAAAGTTAAGTTTGAGTTAAATTTATACCCTATCTAGATATAAATAATGCTATGTTAATAATAAATGTCAATTTACTTGTCACTGATGTTCCCCTCCATACATATCTGCATGACACACATAATTTCAGGCATGGTCGATCCTTTAGGGCAGGTGGGGGCGAGCAACACAAACAGGTTGTGTGCTGGAGCGTCAGACAACAACTGGAGGTCGTTAGGACTGTTCTGGAAATACAGATATGAATGAATGTAAATAATGTTTAATTAAAATATTGATTCTATGTTGAATTCTACATTTTTAAAATTGTTCCTTACGTCATTTACGTGATTATTTGATTAAATTTAAGTAATAATTCACTTATATATGTACGATTAATATTATTATGTAAGAATTTTTGTATTTTTTTTTTGCACAGTTAACTTTTTATTCATATGACTTTTTCTTATATTTTTTTGTCATAAAATTAATATTCCTAGTATCATTGATTTTATGTCTCATTATAGCCATGAATTGTAACATTCATAAAGCATGAATTCTATAATAATGATTACCTTATAGTGACTGGCCACGTATATAGATACTAATCTGTGAAGGAACACTTCGGCTGCTCGATGGTAACAGAACAGCGCGTCTCTGTTGACCCGCACGAGGTCGCAGGCGGCGGGAGGGGGGGAGCCCGCGCCGGGGGAGGGGGGAGGGGACTCCAGACACAGTAAGGAACACAACCAGGACTCCACAGGGTCACCAGAACGATAACGGATAGGTTCCTCGAGTTTAATCTGTTGATATATACATACATATAGATGTAGTTACATTATTATAAAAGAAATGTGGAGTACAACGGATAACTTATATCTTTAAAGAGATGTCTACCAGAAACCCTTTTGATAGAGGAAATGAGATAAGAAATGTGGTACAATAAAGAGAGGAGGAAAAATTAATTAAAAAATATATAAGAGTACAAACAAAATATCACACTAATATATACAGGGTGACTGGTGAATTACTATCAATATTTGAGGACGTGATATTTGACGATCATATATGACAAAATAAAAATTAATATAACATAAATATTAATAAACTTCTAAGTAAAGTTAACCAAAAGTTATGTAATTAATCACGCATCGTGTGAACACCCTACAGATTAGGTATACACTGACACACACACATACGCATGTCGTGACGTGTGTTGTATCAACACGTCGCCGCACGCGTCCACACTTGAACACTTGGAACTTGTCAACACTTTACTTATTTATACGGAAATTTTGTCAAAAATTAAGTGCCTATTTTTTTTACATAATTCGAATGAGAATCATGTACCGAGTATGCTCCTTAAATATTGATAGTAATTCACCAGTCACCCTGTATATACTATAGAGCAAGAGCCAGGGCCAGCCAGGCATTCGTTGATTTACAAAAGCTGAAAGTTTTTCTATACATGTACCCAATATAGGTAGTCACGATCCCCAAACATGAAATTTGGGTCGAGGTGGCTTTGGCAGGTAACACGTTCTAAAGGTGTATAAAATTTTCTTTCACTTTCCTCTTAGTACAAAATTCAGTTTTGATATATTTTCATCGTAATAATATTAGAAATCACGCTGTAAATTGCCCGGCACTTAGTAAGGTGGGAAACCCAGCCAGGCACCCCTAAATTATAAGTAATTTTATTTGTACTTTCGTTATAGTACATATATAAGCTGTTTTTTATGTATGTTACTGAGGAAAGTATTAAATTATATTTACTCAGTAGCCAGTCAGTTTCGATGGAGCTTTTACCTGGCCAGGCACACTGAAAGTCTTCCGTAAGTGCGAGAGCGAGGAACATATATCTGAGCGAGTGTGAGTGAGTTAGTGCTCTCGGTCTATTGCGAGCTTCTACTGCGCATCAGCTGTCATTTAGCAATGTATTCTGTGTGAACTATTTTATAATTTAACAAATTAATCGTTACATAAAATTATTGAAGAAAGAAGTATTAATTTTAGACAAATTATACAGAAAAATTTTCTTTTCAATAAGTTATTACATCAAAAATCTAACAGTTTAAATAAAACTGTTTTGTAAAATTCTACATTTCAATGTTTATTCAAATTAGAATCACAATATTAAAAAAATAAATTATGTATTATGGGAGGGCATAAGTAATTTGTCAATAAGAAATTCAACGAAAAAGATATTTTTATTATGCCTATTATTACTTTTACTTTTTCTAATATCTAGTATATAATATCAGCAACAAATTATATTTAGAACCATCTTTTCACTCAATGACTGATCTATATAACACATACAAAAAGTATTGTTCAGAAACCGTAGAGCCTACCGTCTGTACGTTTACATTTGAAAAAGCATTTAACGAGAAAAATTTGTCCTAAGTAACTAAATTTATCTTCTAAGTAACTAAATACCTATAAAATGTAAACATGAACATATCTATTCGTAACTTCATCGAGGATATGTTCCTTCCTCTCGCACTTACGGAAGACTTTCAGTGTGCCTGGCCAGGTAAAAGCACCATCGAAACTGCCTGGCTACTGAGTAAATATAATTTAATACTTTCCTCAGTAACATACATAAAAATCAGCTTATATATGTACTAAAACGAAAGTACAAATAAAATTGTACTTATAATTTAGGGGTGCCTGGCTGGGTTTCCCACCTTACTAAGTGCCGCGCAATTTACAGCGTGATTTCTAATATTATTACGATGAAAATATATCAAAACTGAATTTTGTACTAAGAGGAAAGTGAAAGAAAATTTTATACACCTTTAGAACGTGTTACCTGCCAAAGCCACCTCGACCCAAATTTCATATTTGGGGATCGTGACTACCTATATTGGGTACATCTATAGAAAAACTTTCAGCTTTTGTAAATTAACGAATGCCTGGCTGGCCCTGGCTCTTGGACTACTAGTAAACCCGGCGAACTCCGTTTCGCCACCAGAAGGCTTTTATATAACATTTCGTTTGGTCATTAACAGATGAAGATTTTTTTGTTTTATATTTGAAAAGTAAATTTTTTATTTCATTTCACAACAGTAATGAATTCATTTCGATTACAAAAATGAAGTGTTATTTAGTTGAACTTCTCTAAGTAAATGAAAGTGAATCCAAAGTAGATACCGAAACGAAGCGTTATACGTGTCCGCAAATTATCCGTTTCATTGAAGTGGTCCTTGTAAACCACATTTTTTGTTTTTTGGTCTAACTTTAACACACATAAAGCAGATGGTTTCCAAACTCGTGAATACGCAAAATATAATGCCCATGTGAAAAACAATGATTTTCTAAATTTATCCCGCAAATACTAAATGGTTTTAAGAGTTCAAACTACAGACACAATACCCGTTTGTCACATGAAATTAACTGAGAAGAGAACAATGAGTAGCTGTCAAACAATGTATCATGCGACGGCACCATCTACTTAAAATATTGATTTGTAGTATATGTTATGTATGATGGCGCTGTATGTGACAAAAGATTTTCCCCCTTTGGTTCTTTCGTTCGCCAGGATGGAAAACCGGACTTATTTTTATATAGTAGATTTCTTACAAATATCAAATTTTCATCCATACGTCATTACATATCTATCATTATATGTCAATTGCATAGCTGTCAATTGTGTTTCTTTATTCCACTTTTTATAGTGACTGACGTTTCATGTCAAGTCCCACGGGAATGCTGTCGAACGCGATAAAAAGTATCCTATCGCAATTTCCTGGTTCTAAACTACCTCCCAGTCAATTTTCAGCTGAATCGGTTCAGCCGTTCTTGAGTTATAAGTGGAATCACTAACACGACTTTCTTTTATATATATAGATATATATAACTCACAGGCGGTGGTGCGTTGTACTCCGTCTGCAGCTGACTGAACAGTTTAACGGATAATGCTCGGCCTGTTCCCTCGTACCCAGATACTGTAGACGACAGTAAAGCGAGCGGTGCCTTGGTAGCGGCCGCCGCCACGTGTGGTAGAGGGATGGCGGCCGCTTCGTCTACTAACACGAGGTCAGCAGCCGCTAGTAGAGAGTGGTCGTCGGGAGTTATGTACTGTGGAAGAAATATTAGTCATATAAATATTAAGTTACATATATAGCTTTTATTCTATACCTACTAATATTATAAATGCGAAAGTAACTCTGTCTGTCTGTCTGTTACGCTTTCACGCCTAACCACTAAACTGATTTTAATGAAATTTGGTACAGACATAGACTTGACCTTGAGAAAGAACATAGGATAGTTTTTATCCCAGACTTTTGAAAGGTTCTCTTGGATACGCGTTATAACCGAACTCCACGCGGGCGAAGGTCTAATAAGGACAAACGAAAGAAGGTATGTAAATGTTTTGATAGATTAAATTCCTTATCGATTAAGAATCGACTGAGCCTATATACATAGTAAAGAACGGCGGTATGGATATAATCTTTTTAATAAAAACGTCTAGAGAATAATTGTTAACATTTGACTTTATACATTTGGACGTATAAAAGAAATACTTTATAATAATAAATTAAATCAAAATACCTCACCTGTACAGTTTGACGAGAATTCCTTGCAATGTTAATTCTTACAATAGCTTTCTTAAAGTCAGGGTTCGTTGACCTCACTATGTTGTAATCTATGTGTTCCTGATATAGACACGCGTCTAAGCCTTTCAGTACGAACTCGAACAGTGTTATAAGGTTCTCGGGGTGAGGGGAAGTGACGTATATGTTGACGTAACCGAGAGCTACTGCGGCCGCTACGGCGAGGCCGAGACACGCGGACTTACCACGACCTCTAGCGGCTGTTAGACAATGTGGAGGCCTAGAAATATACACATATACAGGGTGACTGGTGAATTACTATCAATATTTAAGGAGCATACTCGGTACATGATTCTCATTCGAATTATGTAAAAAAAATAGGTACTTAATTTTTGGCCAAATTTCCGTATAAATAAATAAAGTGTAGACACGTTCCAAGTGTTCCAAGTGTGGACGCGTGCGGCGGCGTGTTGATACAACACCACGCCGCGCGCGCGCGTGTGTGTGTGTGTATACCTAATTTGTAGGGTGTTCACACGATGCGTAATTAATTACATAACTTTTGGTTAACTTTACTTAGAAGTTTATTAATATTTATGTCATATTAATTTTTATTTTGTCATATATGATCGTCAAATATCACGTCCTCAAGTATCGATAGTAATTCACCAGTCACCCTGTATATTATTTGTATGGAATTATATAAGAAAATGGCTGTGTTTATTATTACTATGAACATTTTTAAATGAAGTATTATTACTACTGTTTTTTGATAATCATGCTTTTATAACAAACAAACTGGCTGCTTTATCACGTCATCAGCCTAGCAAAGCCCACTGCTGAGCATAGGCTTTTTTCTCACACGGAGAAGGTTTAAGAATAAAAAGACCATTAATCACCACGCTTGCTCAAGACGGGTTGGTTATTTCAAACTTATAATTGTGAAACTATAAGTCCAGGTTCCCTCACGATATTTTCCTTCACCGTATGTCAGTGGTGTCTAAATACTCTCAGAAAGTACATATGACTCCGAAAAATCACATTGGTGCTTGCCAGGTTTGAACCCGCGCCCTCGGCAACGAGAGGCGGGCCTTTTAACCACTAGGCCACCACTGACTTTGCTTTATCACACTCATTTTTAATTACTTAATATATAAAAATAAATTAAAATACTAATTTAAGTGTAACCTCAGTAACTTATTATAATATCAGCTATTTCTTAATAATATTCCCGTCGGAATCGGTTCAACCGTTTTAAAGATAATAGGGAACCAAATAGATGGATAGACAAAAATTAAAAATGTATTTTTATATACATATGTGCCTATGTGCCTCACGGTGTCTCGAGGTCCTGCGGTGTGGTCACGGACATGGGATTTTATATTTTATTTCTTAAAAATTCGTGAGCGCATTTTGCCGGCATCCAGAGCGGTACGCAAGAAAATTAAAAAATCGATGGCGGTAGGAGATAAAATAACCAGACCAACTGACAGACACTCACATCTCGTCTGCCCGTGATCACGGTTACTGAAAAGTAGCCGAAACGTCAGGAGTATGTAGTTTTCTAATCAAAAATAAAACGCGAAGTAAAATCCGAAAAATATTAGTTTCATTTATGCATACATATATGTATGTTTATATATTATTGTTTTAATCTTTATTTATATAATTACCTTGATTGTTTGTCAGCGAGTGTGTTTATAAGCGCCACGAGAGCAGATGCCTGGTCGTATGTCCGACACAGAGACACTAACATCCCCGCTGGTGGAGTGTCTGACAGTGATGACACTAACTCAGTCAACTTGAGATTTACACTCTGAAATATACAAACAAATTAGTTTATTAATCTTCATATTATAAGGAACCAAAATATGACTTATATAAAGTAAATAAAGAATATATTGCTATGAATTAAATTATATGAACAATAAAACAAGGTGTTTTCAAAGGTCTGAATATTATATGTTTAAGTATTATTTTTGTTATTAGAATCATCCTACAGCTAAACTTGTATCATTTTATAATAAAACAATGTTGACAATGAAATTATGTAGAAATTGATGACAAAAAAATTTTTATATGTTTTTAATTACCAAGTAGTAGATATAAAATGAATCACAGATAAAGAATAATCCTATCAATAGACTATAGAAAATCAAACAAATACATACATATATTATAATACAAATCATGATATAAATATTACTCACCTCTGGAACAACATCAACAGGTTCAACTTGGGCAGTCCTCGATGATATAGGAAGTACTGTCAACGAGTCATCCAACACTAGACACCGAGGATTATCAGCCAGGGACAATAAGAAACGTTCATTGAAACGATTCACTACAGTATCATAGGCCTCCGTCTTAAACCTGAAAAGTATTGACATTTCCATAGAGTTACCACAAATTTTGATTGTTATACTATGTATAGAAGTTTCTGCATTTTTAACCATAGATTGAGTGAAGCTAGCAAAGCAAGTGAAGTGCTATATGGGTGATTTCAGGTCATTCATCCACAGAGATAATCTCAGCGACCAATTGTCTTTTCAAATTAAGGCTTCTTTTTTTGGTAGATAGTTCTGTTAGGTAGGATGATATTTACAAAAAGAAATTTAGATCAAACTATCAATTTCAATGTTATGGCCAGATAACAGAACTAATGTCAATTAAATGAGGATCAGTATGGTCACTTCACTCAACTTGCAAATGTGCATCTCTTAGTATTATCATTCAAAGATTTATAAATGAACACATAAAATCTCAGTATGTCTCTACATACCTACTGAGTATAGATAAAACTATTTTTATGATGCAAGCATGTGCTACAGCTAGATTTCTAATTCTCGAAAAGTAGTCTCATATAATTTTAATACAAATTAATTTATAAAGTTTATATTACATGTGTAACGGTCTCTTACCTAGAATGAACATCCATTGTTATTGAATGCAGCTGTCTTAATGAATTCATAGTTTTCAACAGAAATATAATAAGGCCACCGCCTTCAACTGTTTCTATAGTACGTGCCATCAAATTTGGTGTTAAGGCTTCAAAATCCTACAAAATATATTATATTCATAAAAATCTGTGCATTATAGATATTGTTATAGAAGAATTATCTTTATGATTATTCTTTTGAAACAACTATTTAAGGGTATACTAAGATTTAAATCACAATTCATTTTGTCTGCCCATGATCACATTTGTTGTAAAGTGGCCGAAATGTCAGGAGTAAGTAGTTTTTTATCAAAAATAAAATCACTTAGTACATCGGAAAAATAGTAATTTCATTTAAATTAAATCACAGTTTTTACTATAATAGTTTTGTAATAAGCCGACATCATGGAACGATTTTATTTTAATATTGAAAAGGATAATAAATAGGCAAAATCCCACCTGCAGCACACACACTCCGTATGTTTGACCGAGCATGGTGTGACTTTCTGAATAGTATCGGCCATGAATCGTTGTAGCTACTCTGAACGCATCAAACAAACATTCCTCTGATACTTCTAATTTGCCCGCCGCGATCTTCTTAGCTCTCTTACGGCCATGACTAAGGTATCAAAATTTATGACTTTAATGTACAGGTTTCAAAATTTATGAATGAAAAATTATTAGAATGATCATCTTACTTGCTAATAGCCTCATCTTTATTTTTGTAACACCATAACACTGTCGGCCTGGACTTTACTGTTGATTTTACGAGCATATCATACAATATTGGTACCTGAAACATTTCAAAGTTTTTCATTAACCATGATGATGTTAAAAATTTTGAGTGACAATTTAGAATTTTAGAGATTTAAATAATTTTAAAATTAATGACAAAATCTCACCTGATCTCTACTTTTGTCGCCAACAAGCAAAAACATGGTGCGATGTCCAAGTTTAACTCCATTTTCTATTAAAACTCTTATACGGTTATCAATTTTTTTCTTTACCATTTTAAAATTTTTAGTAAACTATTTGAAGTAACGTCTACTTAGTCTTGATAACCTAAAACCACATGTATTTAGTGTTTGTAAATTGTAATCACAATGCAGAAGTCACATTTAAGTTTGACTTTGATAGATGACATTTATTATTCTGACGGTTCATTATTTTAAAGACAGACTATATAAGGGATATTGAAAAGAATCTGATTATAATACTTTTAGTTTTGTTATTTCAATATACAATGTTACGTATGTATGCCTATTTGAAATGACCGCTAGTATAACTAAATTTATAAACCAATGTATATGGTCTTTTGTAATATTAAAGTTTGTTTCAATGAATATAAATAGTGACACACTTTCAGGAATGCTTATAGTGCTTCAAATTGAAGGGCTATTATTACTTTACGATAGATTTTACTAAATTAGATGAACATATTATAAGAATATTGTTTAATTTAGAAAATTATATTAAAAATGAAATCATAAACGATATTCTGGACATAATTTAAATTTAGATTTTAAATAATAAAAACCCTAAGAGTCTAATATTCATAACTTTTCTTATAAATACAATTACACTAAATGCTAGTCGAATGATGAAATGAAAAACTAGACTTAATCTATGGTCTGGTAAATTAAATTATTAATTAAAACATACTACAATTTTTAAAATGTAATAGCTGACCCGGCAGACTTCGTACTGCTTCACCGTTTGTATGGGAAATAAAAAAGCGCTGTTTTTAGGATTTTCCCGGAAATTAATTAAAAAATTTCAGCTTTTCATCCTTCCTTGAACCTTCACGAACATTTCAAGACTATGATAAGGTAAATCCGTTCAGTCGTTCTTGAGTTTTAGTGAGACCAAGGAACAGCAATCCATTTTTATATATATACTAGTTTTTGCCCGCGACTTCGTCCGCTTTAGTTTGGTCAAGTGTAAAATATGTAGGTATAGCTAACCAGGCAGTGGTGGCCTAGTGGTTAAAGAGCCCGCCTCTCGTTGCCGAGGGCGCGGGTTCGATCCTGGCCCGGGCAAGTACCAATGTGATTTTTCCGAGTCATATGTACTTTCTAAGAGTATTTAGACATCACTGATTTATGTTGATTCCCAAAGAGAATGTTGATGTCAGGCAGGCGGCCAGTCGTAAAAACAAATAGCCAAAACTATTCACAAACATGTAAGGCAGACCCTGGCAATAGCTGGGAAATTGCCAGATAGAAGAAGAAGCTGACCAGGCAAACTCTATTCCGTCTTAGAGGCCATAAATAATCAGGTTTTTCCTGTTTCAATCAAACAGAATGATTGACATAATAGTTAGTTGTCAAATCTAATGTCAAAAAAAACGTTTGTATGGGAAATAGAAAAGGGCTGTTTTTAGGGTTTTCCCGGCAATTATTCCAATTTTTCTCACCTTTTAAACCTTTCAATATAATTCAAAAAGTTAAATACCTAAAGGTTTTAAAACGATCTTAAGTAATAAACAATTTATTTTGATAAGGTTTAATACTAAGGTACAATTAAAGATCCTTTTCAAGCAGTGGTATTTTAAATATTTATTTTATATAAAAAATCGCTTATTGTGACAAAACTATAATAGTTAGAGATATGATGTCGCGACGTTCTTTGTAGATAATGATAAGTTCTACAAAATTGTAGTACATCACTTTGTTATATATGTATCTTCAATCGTTTTAGAAGCGTTCGCGGTTTAAAAAAAAGTTTTTTGGTATATTTTTTACATTATCGGAGTTTTGGTAAGGAACCCATTTTTTGTAAACTAAATATAGCATTTGTCACTCCGGAATAGTATAGCTTTCCAACGACGAAAGAATTTTTGAAATCGGTACAGTAGTTACGGAGCCTATTCGAGACAAACCAAAATCAAAAATTTCTTCTTTATAATATTAGTATAGATAACTTCTGTCATTTTTAACTGATTTGCTTATTTAACCGGTTTAATTTATATTAAATATACAATCAAAGTCTCTATTATAACTTTCGTTTAAATAAAATGGTAAAGCATTTAAATCCTTTACAATTTGTAAAAAAAATGTTAATTATTTATTTAACAACACCAACATTTATTTTTATTAAACAAAGTTTTATCAATAGGCGGTATTATTTATATTTTTACTAACAACACCATTCGCGTCGATGCTCCAGTACATAGTGTCACTGTCAACTGTATTAGAGAATCCGATTGTGAATTATCGGCACTTTTCCAATTTAATTACTGAAATTACATTTTTGAAGCCTAATAACATGTTATTCTTCAAAGTTTTAATAATATAGTGTTGTTTGTTTTAAGGCAAACGTGTTAGAACATCATTAAAAGCCAAGGGCATCTTAGGTTGCCTCCACAACCATAAAAATGGCAAAATCTCAAATAAATACGAAATCCAGAAATTATGTTCAAGATAAAGAAGCATTTTTGAAAGAACTAAAGCAGTTTAATGAAAGCAAAAAGTAAGATTTTTCATATAATACATAGCTCCTGATAGTTCGTTTTATAATGGAACTTTGTTTATCTTTCAGTATACCATATAAAATACCGGTTGTTAATGGTGTAGATATAGATTTGTATCTCTTGTACTCATTGGTTCAACAAAGAGGAGGTCTGAGCAAAGTAAGCATACTTTTTCCAATATATTCTAATAGAAATGTTACATTTATCAAAATATTGTGTATCATTATAAAAATAAATCTATTAATTTCTAGGTTAATCAAAATGATACCTGGGAAACATTTCTGCGTCAGCTCCACTTACCACATCCATGTGTTAATGGGTCTACATTATTGAGAAGAATATATGGAATGTATCTGGAGAAGTAAGAATGTTTATATAATATATAATATTGTTTTTTATATTCAGCACTAATTGTTGGCTGTGTATCTGTCCACATTTAATTCTTTTGTGTGACACTAAATGGCTTGTTAGAAGATTGAGGGATAAAAAGTTTCACAAAACAATTAACAAAACTTGATAATGAATTGGTATGATGTCAATAATTAAATGCTGTCTAAAAGTGTAGTGACTGTATTTACAGACATTTACATAAATTTTTTATGTAAAGACATTTCAAAGTAAAAATTTCATATTTGTATGTTTTATACATACCAGATTTTTGACATTATTATGTATGACACTAGAAGACCCGGCGAACTTCATATCACCCTATATAATCAAGAAATATCTGTTACGTTTTTTTATTTATATTTTTGGAGTTTATCTATTAAAGGCATAAATCTTTTAATAAAATAAAATACGGGTTTTGAAGTGTGACAGAATGATTGACATATTAGTTAGTTATCAAATCTAATGTCAATAAAAAAGGTTTGTATCAGCTACTAATAAATTAAAAAGTACTTAAAAAAACATTGTCCAGCAGACAAAATTGTGAATCTAAACCATTCCCGGATCCCTATGGACACACACAAAAAATTTCATCAAAATCGGTCCAGTTGTTTGGGAGAAGTTCAGTGACATACACACTCACAGAAGAATTATATATATAAAGATTGGCACTATAATTGTTAACCAATAGTTATTTAGTCTGTGCATTTATTATTCACTAGTTACTTTATTTAATAATTCTAGATATGAAAGAGCTAAAGGTCCGCCAGGTAGAGATGACGACTTAGATATGGATGAAGACCCTCGTCGTGGCAGGGGCGGAGGAATGCCACGCATATCATTTGGTAGCGGCACTTACATATCAGGTAAGAACTAAATATAAGTAATTAAATACAATAACATACAGTGTCATAACATAGAATAATATGTAATTAAAATTTAAAAATGTTGATTAATTATCAAATTACTATTACGTATTATCATGTATGAAATATAAGATATATTAAAATAGGAAAACTTCTGAAATGTGATTGTAGGTTGCAAATTTGAAACCTATGTGTTATTAGATAATATTTGAATTAATTATTACCATTATTTTTTACTGTAAGTTAATTTTTCTTGGTTCAGGCTTATATTAATATGAGAATTCCGTTTTAGCTTCCGGTGAACCTCTACGTACAGGGAATCGTGTAGCTGGTCCATCTGAACGGCTTACATTATCGTTGTTGTCGCCGATGCCAAATGAACAGGATTTTGCCGTTAATGTCTGCACAGTGTTAGCAGCAGATCATTCTAATAGGCTTCCGTTGAGCACAACACCTCATATACTGGATTTCTTGCTAGCTCATGCTGGAGTTTATAACCACTGTGAGTAGACATTAAATAATAACACCTAAAAAATTTACAAGTATTCATTGTTATAAAACTAATATTATTGGATTAACTTTGTGCATATAATTATTTTTATCAACATATTGTGTGTTCTAAATTATTTCCTATTTAACAAAAATTATAAATAAGAAGTAATTTAATTGTTTATAATGTGTATTTTGTTGAATTTTAATATTCTGTTTTTTTTAATTATTTTTAGTCAAATATCTCTGAATATTCAGAATAGTATATATACATGTAAGACAAACTTAGGATCATATAAATTATATTTAATCGACTATTTAATTCTTCTTCTTCCTGGCAATTTCCCAGCTTTATAGCCAGGGTCTGCCATATACACTATATACTATTACATAAATGTACCTGTTTGGGAAAAACATATATATTTATATATATTTTAAAACAACACATATAACTTGAATTAGATTACAAGAATATTAGGTTAACAATGTTTTGAAAATTTTATATTTCTAACATTGAATTGTTGACAAACTATATAAAAAGTTATTATTTATCTGAAATTATCTCACAATAATTATATCAAATCAAATAGTATAACTATACTAATAATAATTAATAAATAATGACCACCTATTTTTGTCGTTAAATCATTTTTATATAGATTAATTTGAGGGAAATGAAAAATAAAGTATCAATATAATGAATAATAACATAATTTAAAATGCATATATAATGTTTCTTTGAGTGAATATTAGTCCACACCTTTATACAGGCTGACTGGTGAATTACTATCGATATTTGAGGATGTGATATTTGACGATCATATATGACAAAATAAAAATTAATATAACATAAATATTAATAAACTTCTAGGTAAAGTTAACCAAAAGTTATGTAATTAATTACGCTTCGTATGAACACCCTACAGATTAGGTATACACACACACACACACACTCGCGCGCGGCGGCGTGTTGTTGTATCAGCACGCCGCCGCACGCGTCCACACTTGGAACACTTGGAACGTGTCCACACTTTATTTATTTATCCTGGGAATTTGGTCAAAAATTAAGTACCTATTTTTTTTACATAATTCGGATGAGAATCATGTACCGAGTATGCTCCTTAAATATTGATAGTAATTCACCAGTCACCCTGTATATTACTAGCTGCGCCCCGCGGTGTTACCCGCGGATTTCCGGGATGTAAAGTAGCCTATGTGTTATTCTTGGACGTCATCTTCCTGTATACAAATTTTTATCAAAATGGGTTCAACCGTCTGAGTGTGAAGAAGTAACAAACATACACACTCACAAACTTTCGCAATTATAATATTAGTAGGATATAGGGTGTTCTTTAGTATTCCTTATTTTAACTCGTATTTTTATATTATGTAATATATATTCCAGCAAGCCTCCGCGACACAATCGGTCGTTCATACTTCGAGTCTCGAGGTCGTTATCCACACGAGTTTTGGTCGGAGCGAGCTGGTGGCGGCGGGGCGAGGGAACTTGCTGATGAGACAAAGTTCACCGGTGATCAACCTGAACTTGTCGTACAGGCGTTGGCTGCACATAACACACTTACGGACTGTCTGATGCTGGCTGGTAGTGAAGATGATAATATGGAGAAGATTGTTGAGGATGTATGAAACATTTATTTATTATTTATACATATTATCTATTGCTATTAACACTGATGGATATGTATTGAGATACATATAAAGATACATAGATATGTATTGAGATTCATTATAGTACAAAAGCGGAGTCTTAGAAATTACTAAACAGATTTCAAATATTTTTGGGACTTACACTCATACTCACTGAGAAGACTATCAAGTAGCAGTCTAGGAAACTTAATGAGTCGAAAATATCGATATTTGTAAACTATTTTGAAAAGTTTTTAGGAAGTTAATTACTCATTATGTATTATGGGAACTCTTTAAGATATTAACATACACTCTTCAGTCGCTCGTATTTGTTACAATTAACATAAATATATAAGAAATTTAGTATAAAATCATGTGTCTCAAAGCATTACATTGAAATTCAATAACAATTAACATTTTAAATCAAACAGAAAATTACCAAAAAGTGTATACAATATTTTACTGCTTTATCAATAATACCTTGCACTATCTTTGCCTATATTATAAGCTTATAATATTTACCTGATTTCAACAATAACTGCAATCATGATCATTATATGTTATAAGGACACCGAGGATTGGGTGACGGAACCTTCAGAGGAAGATCAGTTGTTCGCTCCGACGTTACCAGGTGGCGCCACATGTGTTTACACACAACGTGTACTACAGATAGCTAGCATTGTACGAAGCTTGTCCTTTCATGAAGAGAATGTGCAATACTTGGCTAGGAATACCACTCTTATAAGGTTGGTTACGTTATAAATACTAGTGATGTAACAGATATATGAAATATTCGAATCGTTAAATATTTACCGTTTCGTACATCACTACATTAAGTAAAATATAACTCTATGTCCTATTACAGATTCTTACTGCTATGTGCTAACTGTTGGGTGGGAACTCTTCGACAAAGCGGTTTAGACACGCTCGGTAATGTCGCTGCCGAGCTCATTATTAAAGTATGTACACCAATAAAATAGATAATATTTATTTATCTTTTATATAGAGAAATATTAAATGACCATTATTGTAGGACCCCGCTACATGTTTGATATCTCGTCATGTTCTATCGACTATACAATCAGCGCTGGTATCGCAAGATCGTGCTAGAGTATTGGCAGCTTTGGAGCTCTTGAATAAATTGGCACAGAACGAAGTAAACGAGGAAGCGTTACTAAAAGCATTGGAATCAAAAGTACGTAATATATGTGTTTTTGTATATTTTCGTCTAAGTTTCTAATGTTCAACTATTTGAAATGAATGCTTTAACTGAATTTGGTTATATGTATTACAGTTTATTGACTTCAAGAAATATTAAATATATCTATCTTTATTCAAAAGGAAAAATCTCTATATTTTGATTTTATCATAACGTCTTAGAATTGTGGCTTAAAATATATTCTCATTTGTGGGCTGCAAACATTATATACAGTGAAATCCTTAAAATATGATATTAATTATTAATTACTATGTAAATTTCTGTGTTATATCAGGTTTATAGCGACGTGTGTGCTCTGCTAACTCTCCGTGATATAATGGTGTTGGTGTGTACTCTGGAGTGTGTATACGCTCTCACCGGTCTGGGAGACCGCGCGTGTGAGGCGGTCGCGCGTGTACCCGGACTATTACACACACTAGTGTCGCTGGTTACTGTTGAGGTATGTGTGTGTGTGTGTGTGCATGCGTGCGTGCGTGCGTGTGTGTGTATGTAATCACCATTTAAATGATTCAAAACTGACGTAAATATAAAATTCGATATGAACAAATAATATTATGGTTCAATTTGAATCTTTTCGACTATTTTAGTTTTTATAGAATAATATCAAAAATATTTTGATACATCTAGCTGTAATGCGACAAGCCATAGATGAATAAAAAATATTCCTTTAGATCTTTGTAGATTTCGGCCTGTATGGTTTTAAAGACTTATAAAGCGTGTTGTACACAGGCGCAGAGCTACGGTCCCCGCGCGTGTATCCTCATGCGAGTGGTTGAGACGGTCAGCGGGCCGCCCGCCGCGGACCACGTGCAGCCACACACACTACAGAACACTAACGTATGTGTATATACGGCTTTATATTATTATATTTATATAGAAAGGATTCGTATATGTCATATGAAGATATGTATAATTTAATGTTCCGTATAATATTTTAATGACGGCTTAAATCTTATTCTTGTTTGTTACTTGTTGTTTGTTTGTAGATTTATCTTATAACATTAATTTTATAACAGAAAATAATGTGCAGGATTTATAATCTTTTTATATTTCAAGTGTGTTCTAAAATTAAAATAATTGTCTTTTTCAAGTATTTATTTTGTAGTAATATCGGTAGTCACATTATGTATGTAAAACTATATCTTATGAAAGGCATTGTAATTAATTCAGAGCATAAAATCGTACGCTTTTATTATTTGTGAAAATTGAATAACAAATAAGTGGTCTTGTATCCCTTTCTCATTAATAACTGAATGTTATATATAATTATGATAATGTTCTATTTGTTGTACAGCCTCCCCAACAGGTTCAAGTCCCAAAGCCTCCCGTGGAGCCCCCAGTGGCGTCTCCCGCTGTCGCCACCCATACACAGCCTACTACATTACAACAATCGCATATGCAACAACGTACAGTACAAGTATGAAAATTTCCGAATAAAAACATGCATTAAGGAAATATTGTCTACCAAACATTTATGATATAACTAGCTTTCCGCTCGCAGCTTCGCCCGCGTGTAGTTCGGTTATATCGCGTTTTCAAGAGAATCTTTCAAAATTCTGGGATAAAAACTATCCTATGTTCTTTTTCATGTTTATAGGAAAACGAACATTTCGCCCAAGCGTGGCTGAGAGCTACGTATGAAGCTCTCCCCGCGTCGGATAATAGTGCATGTGACGCCGCTGACGTGTACAGGCAGTACCTCGCGTGCTGCACTAAACTAGCACGAAAGGGAGTCATCGCACCCGCACACTTCCCACGACTTGTGAGGTAGGTTGTACAGATACGATAGCTAAAATAATTCTACACCTGTTCTACGACTTATTTATTTATGTACCAAAACTAGTAGTTATATTATTATAAAAGCAATATGATGTACAATGGATAACTTATGTCTCAAAAGAGATCTCTACCGGAAACCCTTTACATAGAGGAAATGAGAAAAAAAGAAAAAAAATGTGGACTAGGTACAATTAAAATAAAATTTTGATATTATACATATTAATTTACTTTAATATAGTTATTGTAATTTTTTGATGTAATTAATTATTATATTATAGGACGGTTTTCGGTGGCACGGTTGGGCCAAATACAGTGAGCACTTCAACGGGTGAAACACAACACGTTTACATCGGCATACGAGCTAAGAATATAGCTAATAGAAGTAATCCGCCTGTTGGTAAGTACATACATATCGTCGAGGATAGTGCAAATCCGCGTTGCTAACATCGGTTAAATCCGCGTATCTACATTGCAAGCAGATTATCAGAAGAAATTTTGTGCTGAAATATTTTCTATACTAACGATTTTAAAGGTAGTTTTTTCACAATTAGTAATAAATTAAACACTGAAAAATTATTTATTGATTGTGAAAAAATAACAGCTCAAACTTTCTTCTGGTAATCTGTTTGCAATGTAGAGACGCGGAATTATCCAATGGTAGTTACGCGGATTTACTCTTTATCCGTGGATTTATAACTTAATATATTTATCAAGCAATTTTTTTTTTAGAAGTTTACGAATATGCTTACAAATAAAAGAATATACTATATTTTATACTATAAGAAATATATGTTTATAGTACATAAGTCATTGTTGTATTTTATTTCTGTAACAGGTCCATCTTCACCTATATTAAAAGCTCAACTCACCAACAAGCCGAGCGCGACAATTGAAACAAAACCGGTTGTCACACAGCTACAGGTACAATTAAATATATTAAAATGATTCAAACATGAAACACAAACTTTATCTCTATATTACCTATGGTAACGTAAAAATCGTACCTTTTGTATTATCGTATACTCAAGTACCTTATGTACTATTAAAAAATGTCGGTAAATAGAATATTTTTGCCATTTAGTTCTATCTCTATTTATATTATAACAAACTTTGTTCGAAGCTCGTATTATAATATCTAAAATGAGAATTGTATCGATTTATTTTATGATACATTCAATATCTAACAGATAGATTTCTCAAAACCTAATATTCATCTGTTTTTTATATAAAATTATATATATAATTTAAATATCTTTGCCAGTCCTCATAATATTTTATTTACTCACTCAAAACAAGTATAATACACCCTGTATGTAATATTGATGTTTGTTTCAACAGACTCCAACGCAGTCCACAGACAACAGTAACACGTCTCTCATAAAACACTTGTTAGCGCATAAAGTAAGCGCGGCTCATACTACACATGTAAGTTTACTAACAATACTAACTTTATTACTATCAAACATTTAATTAAACAGATTTTGTTCTTAATCTGGATCTAGTCGATCTTTTTTTAAAGGAAAATGTCATTTGAGTATGATTCTAGAGAACTCACTGCCATTACAATGGCTGTTATCGAAATGGTAAAACTTTGAGTTTTTAATTGATCGCATGAATGCAAACATAGTGACGTAGTGGCATGGAATAATGACTAACAGTTGGAATATTACAGTAATAATATTAGGCATGAACTGAAATATGCTTTGAACGCATGGAGAGTTGATTCAATTAATAATTTTTTGGTAATATATATGTTATATTTATTATGTAATATTTTGTATGTGTATGTGATAGGTCGCTCAGAGACAGCAAAGTCAACAACGTGTACCGACATCAGGAACAGTCGTCGTACAAACATCAACAGCGGTAATTACATATAATATATAATTTTTAAATATGTAGTTAAGATTTTTTTTAACTAAGTTATTTTTGGTAGGTCTCTTTTTCAACTATTTTAAGTTAAACATGATACTGTTAAATAGCACATAGCTATTCGAATAGTAGAAGATAGATATTAGAAGTTTCAAAGACTAGCGAATTATATGACTACCTCACAGTTGTTTTATTATTGTTGAGAGAAAATTATATGAAAACGTATGATTTTTTTCATATATGTGGATAATTGATATATGTTTTTCCTATGTAACAGAGACAAACTTATGATTATCTATTAATGAAGAATTAAATTCGGAATTAACTTTTGATAGACGATTTTTTACAAGTTGTTTGTGTAATATTTGATATAAGTTCGAATCCTGTTTCAAACAACGAAACAATATTTCGCACTTGAAATTAGTATATAAATTGCATCTTGGAAATAATATTATATAAATGTTATATATAAATATGTATTAACTTTTAATTACAGACGTCGCTGCAGAATATGGAGGTAGATCCAGAAACTCTCATCAAATGTACGACGATAATACCTGGAACAGTCACCAGCACAGCTGTACAGGAGAAGGTTATAAATAACATACATATGACATACACACAGACATATACACACTAATTATATAGAATCGCAACCAGAGGTTCAAGAAAACTACGAAACTTACATACATGTATATTATAATGAGAATTACATATTAAAACTAATAACCTATTCCTACGACTACATGATTGTCGATGTTAGGATAGTAATGCCATTCCATAGCTTGTGTGGCATCAGGAATCTTTTGGTTTACACGGCTTGGTGTTCGTTCCGCGGAGTCAGCGGCGTCACTCGTCATATGATATTTTATCTATACAACGAGGTTTCCCCGGCTATGTTCATATTTATTTAATATGTACATCGTAAGTAACACACTTGCAACATCTTTAACACGAGTTAGTATTGTCAAACTACATACGCAGCGTTTACAGTATTTTATTCATAAAACTTTTTTGATACTATCACGTGCAAAGTTTTAACTAGTGGTTATGAGTAACTTCTAGATACCTTTAAATTGAAAATATTTATTAAAGTCGTATTTGATAATAATCAATAAAACTAGGTGATTATGATATGATTTTAAGAAATAAAGGAAACTTCATATTGTGTGTTAATAGATAGGTTTAAATTATACATTTGTAAATACATAGATGAGGTTTTTTTTAATAACAAATATATATTTACAGATTGTAGTGAACGCGCCTGACGAAGTTATGGGTATGTTTTATAAAACAATATATTATATATATACATTAAGAAATGTATCCGTTATCTTAAGCAATCGCAATATCCTCAGACAAAATAAAGTTATTAAAGTTTTAAGAAGTAACCATAATCCTTATATTGATAAGTGATTTGTTTTCTTTAACAAACGAAAACTTTATTGATTGGTTAATCAGCGCCAAGAAAGTCGTAGAAATCAGTTAGTTATAAATGAATTGATTGTTTACTTTCAGTTCCAAAAGACGAACCAGTTCAAATTCAAATAGACGAGCAGGCACAATTGACTATAGTGAGTATCTATTATACTGTGATTTAAATTATTATTATCTTTGTAATATTACTTCTATTAACATAATACTTCTAATATAGAAAACAGCACAGAACAAGATGTTGGCTGATCTTCTTGAGAAAAAATCAAACCCACCAGTACAAGTTGTACAAATGGGACAACAAATAAACGCACCTACTATACAGATAACGGAAACGGGACAAATAGTTCAAGTTAAATCGGAAAATATGATACAAATATCGGATTCCGTTCAATCGAGCGCGCCATTTTTTCAAATTAAGAACGAGCAAGGACAACTGATACAGATCAAAAACGATCAAGGACAGATTATACAACTCAAAAGCGACCAATTACAGGGCATGATTCAAATTAAGAACGACCAAGGTCAGATAGTACAGATTAAAAATGACAATCTAGCACAGTTATTACAGACTGGCGTTATACAGAAGAATGAAAAGGATATAGCTGAAAGTGTTGTAACTGATCACTCGTATACGGAACCACCGAACAAGAAAATTAAAGTCGAAGATAAGACAGAGGTGAGAGAAATATAGATATAGATAAAAAATATATAAAGATGTGCTAATAATCTATGTATGTTCTTAAAATAATTATCACTTTCTAGTACCAATTTTCTACCAATTTAGAATATTGTCTGTTATTTTGTTTCGATATTGTACAATTATATAAATTATGAAAATCATTTTATTAGTTTAGAATAATTAAATTGAAGGTAGTCATGTGCTTTCATTTATGGGACAGACGTTTTTTTATATATTTTTTATTTATTCATACAAATTTTATTTTTCATATATATTTATGTTGTCTATATCTATTTAAAGTTATTAATAATTTTGATATACATAACATGAGTGTAGAATCCCCCGGAAAGTGTTTCAAAGACTGCAGCCAATCTGTACGCGGCCTTAGCTGCCAGTCTTCAAGATGAAGATGATCTGGTGAGTCGGAGTATTTATGATGCTGCTGGGATGATGCTTGATATGAAAAAAATACAATAATACATTAAAACTTAGTATATATACCAAATATTGCCTAATATGTAGATATGGACCAAATTAATAGAATGAGAGAAGTGCTTTAATTGTTTGAAATTAATAACATTTTGATTAATGATAATTTTAATGATAGTTGTACAGGTAATAATTATTAAATATTTTTTAAATCTTCGTGAATTATAATTTTATTTGGCATATTGTACACAAATATAGAAATACAATAACGGTTAATATTATAATGTTATTTAAAGTTTAGGTATAAGTTAAAAAAGACTTGTTAATTTACAATTGATAAATCTAGAATTAGGAAAATTTGCTTTCACTTGGCATTTGTAAACAATTAAATAAGCTAAAGAGATTTCAAAATATGCCCTAAATTGGTATAAGTAATTGTTTTTTCTGACTGATTTTCATATTTTTTTCCAAATGTATTTTTCTGTATCTTTAAACTCTATCAAGCAACATTCCAGTAGCTTTGTCACATCATTCCAAGAGGCAGCAAAATTATTTTAATAAAGTAATTTTTTTGAATTTGCTTTCATGTCTTTACTTAAGCGGACGAGAGGGATTATATTCTCCGGAACCTTGATAGCTAAGGTTTATGATATAATAATATATAATATATATTTTGTTTTCTGTTATATGATTATTGTTAGTTAAATGTTCATTCCCACAAGTGGAATTGGAAATTTTAATTTCTGTTTTAAATCCAGTAGTGTGGATCCTTTTAGTATTGGTTAATCATTATTTTTTGTTCCTTGCTTATTTTTTAGCCTAACTTGTGTATTATCTGTGGTAGGGTCGAATTAATGCGACCGATAGCTTATATATTTTTTCCTTATGTGTACATGGTATTGTAACTCCATTTCTGTCATAGCTTCCCCCGAAACAAGAAACCGTGGATGTGATCCAGCCATCAGTATTAGTCAGCACTCCGGAGAATCAATCAGTTTTGATTCAAGAACCTATATTACAGGTATGTTTAAGCAATATAACATTATAACAAATACGAGAAAAAAAAAATTGATCTATGACTTTACAAATGGTTATAGCGCTTAAAAATGGCCCTTTAAGTACATATAAAAACTAAATAGAAAAAAATTAACGGTAACTGCATCGGAAAATTAGGTTTTTTTTCCAAGTTAAGTGGTTTTGATGAATTAGTGAATTGAAGATTATGTTATAATTATTTTATAGTTTTGAGCTCGGTGAGAAGTAAAACAATAAATTCGTATAAGTATTATAAAACTATGTAACAACTGAACCTGATCTTTGTGTACTTATTTTAAAGTAAAGTTAGTAAAGAATAATAATTGTTATCATGATGTCTTTTTATAGAATTCTGTGTTCATTGTTCAGAATTGTTATTAATTTTAACCCATGACGCAAAAAGAGGCGTGGTATAAAATATACGGCGATGTACGTGTCATTGCAGATATGTGCGTGCGTGTGGGTGTGCCCGTGTATGTATGTTTGTGGTATAGTAGCTCTCAAACACTTCAAACATTCGACTAAGTGATTCACGGATGCTAGCACTATTGTGAAATAAAAATTACTGCGTAGGGTTTTGTTTTAATTATAAACAATATTATTCCGTTGTTCAAATATACTAATAAAAATCATGAGTTAATCTGAAGTTTATAATTTTATGAATTAATGAATTTTACTTGTTATTGAAACTATAAATGTACAAAATAGCTTCACATGTCTTAGATTAAAATTTAAAGGAACTAAGGAAAAACTTTTGAATAACATAAAATAGTTTAAAGCTAGAAAGTAAATTGCTTACTATGACAAGTATTACAATACTGTGTATGTTGTAAGGTGCAGCAACCAACATTACAAGTGCAGCAACCAACGTTACAAGTTCAGCAACCAACGTTACAAGTGCAGCAACCGACGTTACAAGTGCAGCAAAACGCGATACAGATGCAGCAACCGGCGTTGCAGGTACAGGTGCGTCATATCTTTATATATATAATTCTTCTGTGAGTGTGTATGTCATTGAACTTCTCTCAAACGACTGGACCGATTTTGATGAAATTTTTTGTGTGTGTTCAAGGGTATCTGGGAATGGTATAGATTCACAATTTTGTCTGCTGGACAATGTTTTTTAAAAATTAATTTTTAATTTATTATTGGTTGTTGATACAAACGCTTTTTTTTGACATTAGATTTTACAACTAACTAATATGTCAATCATTCTGTCGCACTTCAAAACACGGAGATTTATGGCTTTAATAGGTAAACTCCAAAACGTAACAGATATTTCTTCATTTAATGGCGATACGAAGTTCACCGGGTCTTCTAGTATTTATATATTTGCACAAATCATTGTAATGAAAATGTATAAATTATTACATTTTATAAACATTTTTTTAAGCTCTCTATTTAAATGATTACATTATGATTTATTATTATAGGTACAGCAGCCCTTACAAGTTCAACAGCCGATGCTCCAAGTTCAACCAATGGATGTACAGAATATTATGTCTCAGGCTGGACAGATTATATTACAGGGTATGCAATAAAATAATTCTATTATATCACTATTATATAGTTATTTCTTTTGTTCCTCTATATTAAGATAATAATATTCTTTTATTTTTATTCTATAGAAAAACCGGTCGGTACTCAACAGGCGCAATTTGTACAACAGCCCATGCAACTTATAGCGGCACCAAGTACTTCACAAGGTAAGTTTTATATATACATATATTTGTAAATATGTATGAGAGTAAAATATACTTAGTTTTTAATTTTAAATTAATATTTTCCTTTTATTCTAGGTGGTTTGAGCTACATAGCGCAAAATATACCCGGTAATATGATGCAGAAAACTATCATAATAGTTCAGGGTACTGGAGGTGGTCCACTCACATTAACGGTATGTAACGAAATTTTAATATAATTATCTTATAAAGTTCCCAATCTATATGAAATAACCTTATTATATGCAGATTTTGTACAGTGGTAACCACTTTGAAAAAAGAATATGTATTTTGATGAATAAGATTCTGATTGATTAGTAGTAGTATTTTAAATATATGAAATGTATTAAAATTACATAAAAAGGTTAACAATCCATCTGGTTTGGACGAGGCCACGCTAAACTCGCTCATAGCGCAGGCGACTGAGGCGATAACGCAGCAGCAAATTATTCAGGTTACTCACTCGATGACTGCCGCACTAACCTCAATAACATTTGTTCAATTTTGCTATTTGCTATTTCTGTTTTTGGCCATTTCTTACTATCATTTCTAGTATACCCACTATTCTTTATCGTTAATTTCTGTTATTTTCTTTCATAATCACAAAATACCTTGTCCAATAGCTTGAGCTAAGACTCGCTTGTTTATTTGGTACTGCCTCTAACCTAAAGCAATATTAACAATTTTTATTTGCTAATTGTTCTTTATTAGGAAATTTCTTTGTTATGTATTAAATATTTTTTTGCAATTATATTGCTTCTTGCCATGGTATCCTTAAACAAAAAACCATTCACACAAGTTTATTCAGGTTACTCACATAATTGCTGCACTAACCTTAATAACATTTATTCTGTTTTGCTACTCTTTTTTTATATACATTTTTGTTGACATTTATTTGTCTCATTTGTATTGTAATCATCTTCATTTATCGCTACTCTCTTGACTTAATTACAAAGCTATAAAATTACTCCTAAAACTTACTTCCTAGATGCCGCACTAACCTCAGTAATATCTACTATTCCTTTTATTCTTCTTTATTTTTGGGATATTTATTAATCTGAATGTATGTTTTCATTTATCATAGTTACATATTGTTTGAAGTTTTTAACCCATTAAAATTATTTTTCTCTCTCTTTCTCTTGCCAAAATTATTAGGTTAGTAACTTTTTTAAACTAGGTTATTAATTTTTGCTATTAAATGTTCTCGAGAAACTTTTCTTCTGCTTTGAAAAATAATTTACTGTCCTAATTTTATTTTCTAGAAGTAATTTGATTTACTTGTCCGTTTTTTTTTGTCACATAATTTATCAAACTTTCAACTATTTTTTTTTCATTTTGTCAATTTTTCAAGTAGAAGTCTTTTTTTCCAGTTTCTGTTGTTAGCAATAAAATGAAAAATATTTACCAAATTTTATGTAAGGTTGTTTAATCAACCAGAAAATGAGGGTTTAAACATTATGTAAAAATATGATTTAAAAAAGACCATCAACATTTTAAATATGTATGTGTATAAATAGATTTCATCTGCCAAGTTATATTAATGTCCCTTCTTTCTTTTGTACATATTAAACTACTTTTTATTTTTTTTGTAAGAAATATATGCAAGTAAAATATATGGTATTTTGCATTTTAGTGCAACGTGTGAACTTATATTTTGCATTAATAGAACATCTTACCTTTTCGATCTAATAATTTTATTTCAGCTCCACTAATATGCTGCTTTGTCTATAGCTACCACTTTGTCCCAATATAAAGCTTTAAATCACTTTACATTTTGCAATTTGATTAAATATATAATATTTTGTTTCATTAACATGTGATGTGGTTATAAAATATCTGATGATAATGATGATGTGATACAGAACTCAGGAGTGATACAATCACAAAGGGTGATAGTCAGTCAGTCAGCGCTAGTGAGCTCGTCACAGCCCATAATGCTGAAAACTTCCATCACACAGGTTCATGGTTGCATGGCTTTGTAGATATTGGGAGGGGGGTGGGATTATGGTGGTCGTATTATAATTATATTAAAAGACATATAGATAATTTTTGGATTCAGTAGAAAAAATATTTTTTTTTTGTACCATCTTTTTTTTATTGATAGCAGTAAAAATAATGAAGATTTCATTTTGTACATACGATTCATGATTTAGCATGTATATGTAAATGCACCATTTATTTCGTTATTGGGTTTTGGGTGTATTTATAATATCTCGATCTTCTTTGCAAACGAATGAAACTAATGTATTTTTTCTTCATATATAGAATCCACCTCAACTGACGCCGAGCCAGCAACCTATAATAACATCGCAACCACAACCTCACAAAGCACAAATTGTTAACCCTCAACAAATCGTCGTGACCCAAAAACAACCACCTGGTATGATAAGTACGTCGTCTGGCAGCCAGATCGTTAGTACCATAGTTGGTAGCAACCAACAAATAATTCAAGGGAATCAGCAGTTACTGCAGGGTAACCAACAAATAATAGCGGTTTCAAACAACCAGCAAATAATAGTTAATACCCCAATGAAACCGACTCATAGAGTGGTCCAAGCATCAAGGAACCAGGTTACAACAGTTGTGACCAGTAACCAGGCTGTTGTCACAACTGATGCAAAGACTATCCAAAGTTCAGCGGTGAGTTTAATTATATCTTGTTGTTATACTTAAGGTTTTTTGTTTATATCATACTATGTTTCAGAAACCTCAATCGGTTATGCGACAGGTTATAACTCGGCAACCAGTTATGGTCGGCAATACTAAGATCGGTGACAAAGAAATGGTGGTCACACAACCTGTGACTGAGGTGAGATATTATAAAAGGAAAACTTCTTTATGTACGTTTGTTTAAGGGTGCTTGACGTGGCCAATGAAAGTTGAGAGGGAAATATAATTTAGTAAAGATAGAAAGAGATGGTATATTATTTTAGTCAAGACAGAATTTTCCGAATAAAAATCTTCGTGTTCTCTCCCATAGTCAGTTACACTTAAGCTAAAAAAGTTTATTTTGATTCGTTTTGACTACAGTTTTTTCCATTTTTTTTTGTTTGTATACAGTAAATGTTTATAATCTCAATTTCATATTAATCGTTTTAATTATTACAATAGAAAAGTATTATAAAGAAGAAATTGTAAAGAGTGGACCCCGCACTCAAGTTTGGAAAGAAACGGTTAATGTCTAGTTAAAAAACTAGTAAGGTGACTAAACTGCAATGCCATCTATCGGGAAACTAACAGACTTCTAGTTAAACTAGATTAAATCTTTTTTATTTTTTATGACTTATATTATAGTAAAGAATAATTAAAACCTATTCAATATTTTTTCCCTGAAAGCGTATCAAAACATACTTCTGTACAAGATTTACTTATTATAATATGCATAGGATTTTTACTAATACGTTACTTTTCATATAAGACTCAACAACCAAAGAAGATAGAAACTCCTCCGCCCCAAACACTTCAGACACAGCCGCCGACTACGACAGGGTCTGAAGACACGCCCTGGATCTGTCATTGGAGGGGATGCGGGAAGTAAGACATAGAAATATATATTATATCTATAGAATAATGATAAGGTGCTATGTGAATTTTATTTAAAATAATTGTTTTCTGAGGCTGGTTATTTTTTGTCTCTTTTACTGTATGTCAAGAATAATGCCGTACTGTGAGTTAATTAAATATAATTATTTGATTTTCAAATTTGACTTAACTTAGATTTGAAAGTTTTTGCAAAGACAGGCTCTAGTACATAGGAACCATTGTAACTAGTATGGAATTTTGTCAAACTTTGTCAACTATTATCTTAGAACCTACTCAATTCAAATAATATAAATAAATGACAGTAACATAATAATAAATGTTACAAAAAATCTTAAGTGTAATATCAGTTGATATACAATCCTTATCATATTTCTCGAACGTTCTTAAATTAATAAATTTTCACCATACAGAAATCTCAAATATTTTAAGACAATTTTTAAATTTAGACAATTAAGAAATCGATGGCGGTAGGAAATAAAATGACCAGACCAACTGACAGACACTCACATCTCGTCTGCCCGTGATCACGGTTGCTGAAAAGTAGCCGAAACGTCGGGAGTATATAGTTTCTAAAATAAAACGCGAAGTAAAATCCGAAAATATTAGTTTCATTTAAATATTGGCTTTTTACTGTCTGAAATAATTTTTTTAGAAAATTCTCAGCTTAAACTTGATATATAATAGACATCGGAAATATTTTCAATACAATTACCCTTGTTATAGAACCTTCTTCACCCTCAGATTTGTATTAAACGTTGTAGAACTTTCTCCAACCTTCATAACAATCATTACACATAATTTCCAGAACGTTCTCCAGTTCATCCGAGGTGTTCACTCATGTTGCTCGGACCCACTGCCCCAGTACAGCCGGCGGTGAAGCCCCCTGTATGTGGCTAGACTGTGACCGAGTCCCACGGAAGACATTCGCCTTATTAAACCATCTCACTGACAAACATTGCACACCTAATGTGAGTATATATACACAACAATGCAAACACACACACACACGTACTACGTACGGACTCATACAAATGTATATATAAGCAGTTATGTATATACACATGACCATGAAGACATTTTAGTGTAATCAACAGCATATTTTTTTCTTATATATAGTAGATTAGGTTAAGTTTTGTGAGGAGAAAAAAATATTTTTGTAATTTTTTCTTGTTAAATGCTTTCGGTTGTATATTGGAAAGAATTTTAGTTGTTTTAATATTAATTCTAATTACCAATTACATAATTAAATATTTAAGTTATTTTAAACGAAATCCCTTGTTGACCGACATATATATACGTTCTATTATTCTGTGTTATGTAATGATTAATATTTTGTAGTTATATGTAATGATATATATCTGAATCCTCTTCCGACGATTTCGTGTTAAATATGATACAGTAATTTTTTTTTGTATAAATTACTTACAAAAAAATCATCTTTATAAAAAAATCCATATTTATATAAATGAAATAAAATTGCAGGCACTCAAAGCAATATTCAATTCCCGACGTCACACTGCGAGTGAGGCCGAGTCTGGTAAGCCTATGTCAGTTGGGTACCCGCCGAATGCAGCTTTGGCAGCCTTGAATAAACACGCGGCGGACATGTTCAATCCCAGAGAGCTTATGGTGAGCCTTATTGTATACTACATAAGGTACAATATTCTATGTGCACTTGTATGATCTGTTTTCATTTATATATTAACATGAAGCGAGTGTGATCAATGAAATTAAAATGTTATTGAGAGTTGATGTTTATTTAAAAGAAAAATAATTCATCGTATATCTGTTCTAAATTCAAAATGTTCTTTAATTTTTAAATCACAATATCACGTTATAGTTAAACGAAATTTATTTTAGTGTGTCACATTAACCTTATGTAATAACACGATGATAGTCACATAGTGTGTTATATATATTGTATGGCACTAATCTGTCCGTGTGTTTAGCACCGGGCCGATGTGACCCGCACGCCGGACGCTTCGGTGAGACAAGTTTGTGGCTTTGTAACGGGTTACACGAAAATATGTCTTATTATTATACAATATTAGGTGTAATTTAGTACGATTTATTTATTTTTATTTTTGTTATATATTTTTTTTTATCTTCGGACAGTTATTTTTTAATGTTTTTAAATAGTTTGAAGGAAAAAGTTTTCTCGTTTGTATTATAATCCTAAGAGCAGTGTCACCAGCCTAATGATAGGTTTTCAGCGTTTTATACAGTGTTTATAGTTTTTCCATTATTAAACTATATTGATAATAATCGCTCTGTATTGAGTTTGCGAGTTTATTTGTTGAAAGAATACTGATTAAGCTTATTCATTATTCATAGAATAGTATTATTGTGTCATATATTGAGAAAAGTTTCATTTTTTTTTGTTATACGCAGAACGTTATTTTAATTACTTATAACTATTTTCATTTCGTCTTAATACGATTTAGCATGATCTACATCTTCACCTAAACACTGTTAGTTTAAAGTGTTTTTCCTATGAATCGTAGGTGATGGAAACACGCCATGATTTATGTATTAAATGCCATAAAAGTAATAGTGTTTTGGTGAATAAAGTAATAACGTTAGCAGTAGATTATACAGTTTGTTACTTTTTCGTATGAATGAATATGCATATACAAATAATTTTTTAATTACATAGTTAGATGTTTATTGGTAATTTTTTCGTGATTCCCGTTACGCCTTTCGCTAAGCACATAGCTATTGTGTCAATTTGTTTTGCAGCTTTGTTTTTATTAATTTGGTCTACTAAAGAGTTTGTGTGTTTTTTGTTAACCTGTGTTTTTTTTTGTGAATAATATGTCATGTACAGGTTTTATTTTTGCTTGCTTTTGTATTTTTTGTCTCAATTCCGCAGAGTATGGTAGTTTAAATTACGGTTTAATTTTTTGAACATGCTGTATAAGGGAGTAAATGAAAATCTATCCGCATACCATACTCTGTTGAAATTTAATATCGCTATGTATATGTTTTACTTTCTTTTTAATATATACCCTATAAGAAATATTGTTTTATGTACAGGATGAAAACGAAGGCCCAGTTACGAAAAGCATTCGACTAACAGCGGCACTTATTCTAAGAAACATAGTTATTTACTCAAACACTGGTAGAAGGTAAAAATATTACCTGTAAATAGTTTTAATATAATTAAAATAAGTATTTTATATCAGCAAAATAATATTATTTTTATGACTGCTTTATTTATTTCATAATGACTTAGATTTATTGATATCAATATATTAAAAAAATATATATTTTATATATGTATGTCAGTACCAAAGTTTTATTGAGAATTCCTACTTAAATTCTGATATCACTATATCAATATATTTGATTGGAATATTTTCATTTAATATGTTGGTAATTTGTATGTTAATAATTTCAGATTACTACGTTCATATGAAGCACATTTGGCGTCAATAGCCCTCAGCAACGTGGAGGCGTCACGAACTATTTCCCAGGTGTTGTACGATATGAACAATATATGAGACTCGCTTGAAGGGCAAACGCCCATGTGACAGTTCGAATGGACGGGAAATGTACGATAATACAGAACAATCGCTTGAACTACGACATGGACAGAATTGTTTAAGGCTGTGTGTGTTCACGTAATATTATGAGTGATTTAATACATTTTTTTATATGTGTATTATATATCAATATGTGAAATCTGTGTCACTTATATACTCGTGATATATGATTGAGTTTTAATTATGAATAAAGGCGTCATTTCCATAGACTTATATCTATTCTCGTACGAATCTGTAGACTTATCCTAAGTTTTCACATCCCACTACATAAGAAGCGTTTTCAATTTTTTCATTCATTAACCTACTAAGCACTGCGCGATGATTTATGTATAAAAAACTTTGAACGTCGCGTATGCAGTGTGACTGGAAACTTATAGTAAGGATATAGTTGAATCATTTTGTTAGCTCGTGAGTTATTACCAAGGGATTGAATTGTATCGTGAACTTAACTGAATGGTAAGTATTCTAAATATAATCATTATTAAGTACTAATAAAGATATAAAATTTATATTTTTGCATTTATAAAACTTAAATGGTATGCAATAATATTAATTATATATAAATATAGGTGAGACTGAATGTATAGTCTAAGAGTTTATAATTGATCTGATATGTCTGTTTATTTATAGCATATGTGTAGAATATTTCATTTGTAACCTACATTTGTTTCATTTGTAATATTTTAACGAGTTACTTGTAACTTCACTTAATACTACGAGTCTATTTTAAATGGATAGTTCATACTCTTCTAAAAAAGATTTTTTTTCAATAACTTCTATGTAATTTACTAAACATGTTCTATTCCGTACTTAAAAGGCAGCTTTAAAATTGAATTATTGTCGCACAAACGAGTTATGAGTCGAAGCATTGTTTGGTTTAGTTAAATTAAGATATATTGTAATCAAGAATTGTATAAATAAAAGTAATTTGTGATTTTGTATACATTATTTATTTTTTCCACATCACATATCCTGACCTAATTTCTATTGTTATATAAATTTGTATGTCATTATTTTAAGAAACTTGTTTTGGACGCTTTCTATTGCCAAAATATACATAGAATATTGCGGATTCCAAACAGTGGAAGCATATTCCAAATGAGATCTAACATAAGAGTTATATAAAATATTGTAAGTGTGTATATTCTTGAAATCGCTTCCTCGACGAAATATGAATCCCAGCATATATATTCGCTTATGTATTCGCAATTTCTTGTTAATGAGTTTTATTAATGATCTTGAAAACCATACTGGATATCTAGATGATTCATGTACTGTTCTGGCTGGTATATGTCTATCCAATACATTGATAATTAATTAAGTAAAATTTGTCAACCGCTTCAGTCACATCAAGGGCTGAAAATTGTTCAACCCGATCCATATTATTTAATTCCTTGTTAATTGCTTCATAATCCGCAGTATGGAAACAGCGTGAGTTAGGTTCATTTACATTAACATTTGTTGATATAATGATATATCAGCGTCTGGAAGAGACAATGGTATTCCTGAGTGTTGCACATCAACACATAAGTCATGGCGTGCCGCTATTAGGCCTCGGCCTCGAATTTTGCGGGCAGCGGAGCGGCGGCGGCGGCGGCACGGCAACGCATACTGTTCTCCAAACTAGCGGGCAGCGGGCACCGCTGTATTCGAGGGTCGGTCCATTTGATTATACGCGTAAGATCCTGCCGCTCCCGCCGCCGCTCCGCTGCCCGCAAAATTCGAGGCCGAGGCCTTAGAGTACCTCCACCCATACTCATCCCAAGGCGTGTATAGTCACGATCATTACGATACACATTATAGCGGGGATCAAAAAGTTCTTCATCGAAAATACCAGGAAGTAACCTGGTCTCACTTAAACAAAGTATGTCATAATAAGTGTTTAACAAATTGGTATAAAATTGTTTAGTTTTGGTGCGCAAATCTCTAACATTTTGATAGAAGATACATAAGTTCATATTAATATATACTACTTTTTGGGTAATAAATAATAATGCTGATGGGTAATAATGCTAACTGACTTTAAAATAAATTTCAAAAGATTAAAATTTGGACCTAAGTGTTCGTATGACAATTTAAAATTAGAGAACATTCCCAAATATAAAATATTAAATACTAGCTCAAAGTTAATAAAAAATACAGTAAAAATTTTAACGACGGTAAATACAAATATAATAACAATTAAAAACTTAAATAGATTTTTGTGGTCGGTGTGGTAAAGTTTCGGACCCAACAGTATAAGTAGCCTTTATCTTTTCCTATACGTCTAGCTTCACTGAGAAGAAGCTTGTTGCGTGCGGACAGGTGATCATTAATGTATATCGGATTATTTTTGCCAGGGAAACCAATTTCGCTTGCTTTCAGGTTTTTTTAATATACGTAGTGATGAAAGAAAGTCATCTTTTTTTATATCTGGCTTGCATTTTCAAAATAATTGGACGGGAATGATTATCATACGTATTATGTTTTACCGCAACTCTTGTTACAAAATCGACATCCGTATTGAAGTTTAAAGGATATCCACTTTTTTCGGCTAATGTTTTTATAATAGTTATTACATTCTCGCCTTTCTTTTGTGGAATGCCATTTATTTGTATATTAGAACGGCGCAACCATTGTTCATTTCTGTGGTTATTTTCCGATAGCTCTTTAAATTTTATCTTCATTTCCTCGAGTTCCGTTCCAAACTTATCTATTCTGGATACTTCAATATATAGGTTATTCATGTGTTCTACCACCGAATTAATTGACGACCCGACAGATTTAATTTTTGTTGACCAAAAGCTAACAGTCTCCGAAAGCTTTTTCAGTTCCTCGGTGATAAAAGTTTTAAAAGATTCCATCGTAGAATGTAAACTGTTGAAGCGGTTATCAAAATGATCAATTAATGATTTTATGTCCAATTGGGATTGAGATATATTAATCTTTTCAGAGGTGTTAGGAAGTTTAGGGCTAATATTGTGACAAGGCTTCTTGGAAATCTTACAAACTGGACATTTTCACTTTGCTTTATTCATAGAAAGTATCTTTTTAAAATCTGTTTCACTCATACCAACACATAAATATTGATAGATACTATGACAAGCTGTGCATTTAATTATATCTTCAGATTTTAAAGCATTAGAACAATGTTTACATTCCATTATGTTATTTGAAGTAATGCAGGTAGAAATCAGCTGGAGTATTATTTATCTAATGCTTCAAGTGCAGCGCGTATGATTAAACGCACTCGGATTAACGACGAAAAGGTCGTAAGTGCGGCTAAATTTCTAACATCTTACGCGTTTTCTACAAAACCACGCACAATTCACACTGTTTAACGAATAACTTTTTAATTTCTTATTTCCTTTAAAAGTCAACTCAATTTTAATAAAAAAATAATTGTTATTAATTTCTTTGACAAAAACTATTTTCAAAAAGTTCACTCTAAATTATCGACTTTGTCACGAAATATGAATTTTAATTTACGTAGTAGTCACAAACAGTTGTTTATACAGTACTACACG